CTACTACCACCACCACCACTACTACCACTACTACCACCACCACTTCCACCACTACTACTACTACTGTGCCAGATGTCACTGATAATGGAGATGAGGAAGAATACAAGGACCAAGACACAGAATTCTCAAACTTTCAAGATTATCTTAAAATAATCAACCAGAACAATGAAAAGGACATTTTGGATGGAAATGATTTTATGGACAATAACGAAATGAACTTAGAGAAAGAAAATAATGAAGAGTATAAAAATATGTACGACATAGCAACTTTAATTGTCTCACATAAGGGTATTAAGGAATTAAATGAAGAATTCCCCACTCGCTCTGAAGAAATAAATGAACAAGAGGATTCAATAGGAAAAGTGAACGAAATTACTGAAAGTATATTGAATAGTTTGGAACAGAATCAAATTTCTGTAATTGACAGTCAAATAGCAGAAGGAATACATAGGAACTACAGTATTGCAACTTTAAGAATACCATTTAACAGCTTTGAAGAACTTAGACAAGAAATATATAACAATTATCAATATGGCTACCCAATTTATTTATTAAAAGGATTATTTAAAGAAAATATTTCCAATTTTAATATTAACGGATTTGATGATTTCCAGATTATTGACTTTACATTTCTATTTCAAAACATATCATTCTGTGATATATCTAAATATCATGCAACTATCATGGTTTTAAATATAGCAGCAAATATACACAAGTTACTCAATTGTAGTCCACATATGATTCAGATTAAAAATTTCCCACCAACAGAAAATGAACAAAATATATTCTGCCAGCAAAGTGTTTTAGAATATACTGTGAGGTAAGTATAATAATTATATACAATAAATAATCATTCATTTTTCATATTATCATTGAATAGAATATTTATACATAATGTTCAAGACAATATTCCAAAATTATTAGATAATTTACATACTGCAAAATATATATTTAATGGAAATGAATATACTCCAATAATATTGGTTGGACATTCAGTTTCTACTACAATACCAAATCTTTTATATGAAGAAATTGAGAGAAATATAATAATTCAACAACATTTACTTTTAAAGAAAAAAACTAATGGGTGTATAATAAATGAAGATAATTTCTTTGCTGAGTTGATTTTATATGAAAGATCTTTTGGAAATGATGTAAGTTATTATTAATTTGACTTGGTCTTTATTAATAGAAAGTTACTAACTTATTTATTTTACTCATAATAATTTAATATTTTGTAAATATTATAGAATAATGATGGATTTATTGATTTGAACAGTAAATTACTCTCAATATTACCAAATGATGAATTAACTCCATTATTCTTTTTACCAAGACCAATTTCTATTAATCATTCACAAGGAGAATCAATCCTATTAAAATTATCTAAAGAGACTGTCAAATCAAATAATGAATTAACTAAATCTATATATTCAATGTTTGGACAAAGAACATCATTAATACCTTTTGAATTTGTATTTTCAACTATTAATGGAACAGGGACTGGTATAATTAATATAGAAGGTGAAAATTACCAAACATTTATTCCTCAAGTTAATAATTCTGATTCAGCTAAATTATATACATTAAGATTTGATCTATATGGAAGAGATTATTGTTTAGATGTAAGTTTAATTTAATTATAATGAATTACTTTTTAATTTATTTAATAATTAATTATAATTTTTAGGTAGCACAAGATTTTAGAAGATTTACTCAATCTATTAAAGATACAATCTCTATAATGTTATCAATTAAGCCAAGTAATATTCATATTATTCCAGTACCTTTACCAATAGATTTATCAACATCAATTAAATGTTCTAATATACCTTCAAGTGTTCATTCTGGTTCTATTGTTTATGTTCAGTAAGTTTATTTAAAATTATTAATAAAACAAATAACAAAAATTAATTTAAAATTTAGAATACTTACAAATGATATTAATCATTCTATGGATGTTTTAAATAAAGAAAATATTCCTCCAAAATATACAAATAGATTGGAAAAATTGTTTGGACATTATAAAGTAACTTTGATTGAAGAAGGATTACCAAAAGCTAAACAGATTGATGGAATTCAAATGGGTTTTAATGACTTAACACCAATGATTTTTGCTTCAAATCATCCTATTACTCCTGTTTCTTTATTATTAGATAAGAAACAAAGTAATAATGATAATGATTTATATGATGATAGTGTATTACCTCAAGAATTGTTATTATTTTTAAGATCTATACCAGAAATAACTATTTCACCACATGTTATACCATATTATGATCAATATGTTTTGACTTTTGGGTAAGTTTAATTATATTTTTCAATAAAAAATATATAATATAAATATTCATTATTTTAGTGTTCCAACAACTATTGTTTTTAATTTTGTAAATAAGATACATAACAAACAGGTAGTTATTCCATATTTAACAAATCCCTTATTTATGCCAATCAAATCACAAGTTGATAAGTTAAATGTTGATTCATTTCCTTTTGATATACCAGATATTGGATCTGGAAACCCAATAGAGGATGAGAATTCAACTTGGTCATCAGAAAATATTATCGAAGATTTAAAAAATGATAGCAAATCTAATCCAAATTTTGATGATGTACAAGATAATGAATTTAAGGATTTCAATATTGTAGATAAAAACATTACAAAAGGGTAAGTTAGATGAACTTTATTTAATTTCATTAAATAACAAAATATTACTTTTTTTTTTTTTTTTTTAATTATTATTGATAAATAATAGTCAATCAGATACATCTTCTGGAGCCTTTAAATCAAAAGAAGTAAAATTTGCTTGGATTATTTTGATTACCTTGATAATATCAATAATAATATAATAAGAGAATGGTATAAAACAATGTAATTTAGTTTGTTTTTTTTTCTTTTAAGAAAGTTAATTATCATAAGAGAGAGGGAGAAAGAGAATAAAAGAGAAAGAGAAAGAGAAAGAGAAAAAGAAAGAAAGAAAAAGAAGGAAAGTAAAGGAATAAATAAAAAATGGTAGAAAAAGATGAAAAAAAAAAAAAAAAGAGAAAGAAGAAAAGAATAGGGATTAATAGAAAAATAAACATTGGAAGAAGAAAAGGAGAGAAAGAAAAAAAGAAAAATAAAGAGAAAATAAGTAAAAGAAACAGAGAAAAATAATAAGTAAATGAATTGAGTTTTATGAGAACTTATATGGAAAGAAAGATGATACTAATAATAATAATAATAATAATAATAATAATAATAATAATAATATTAATAATAATATTAATAATAAATTATGTATTAATTGAAATTGATGACATTAAGACAAATCAGAATCTTCAAGACTAAGATTAAGTTACAATCTAACTAATTTTTTTTTCTACTGAATTATGATTTCAGATACATTAATGCATGGCTGTAAATTGCAATACATTAATGTTTAAAAGATAATAATAATAATCATAACAATAATGAATATTAATTTCAGAAAGATATTATTACATTATTTAATTAATTTGAGAAAGTTCTTCTTTCTGATCATTATTAATATCATTTTTTTCAGAAAAATCATTCAAATTCTCTTTTGATTTATTGGAACAATCAGATCTTTTAATCTGTTTCGATCCAATACATAATTTCTCAATGAATTCATCTTTTTTAATTGGTTCATTTCCTATTTCAAGTTTATCAAGAGCTCTATTAATTTCATCTTCAGTCATCTTATCTCCAAATGTTTGTAAAAGAATAACAAGTCTTTTTCTGGTAATTTCAGGCTTGGTGGATTTTAATGAAACTAATAACTCTTCTTGAGTATACTTATCAGCAGATGTTTTATTATAAGCTTTTAAAGCAGATTCAATGTCAATATTATTAGTTCCAAATTCTTTTTTAAGTTCCTCACATTGATTTACAGTTGGAGAAAGTCCTAATTTATGCAAGAATTTCACTAATTCATCAAAGTTGCATCTTCCTGAAGAATTAGAAACATTTTCAAATTCGATTTCATAAATGGTTGGTTCTTTCTTTTTAATTGTTGCTTGTCTAACAATTTCTAATACATCTTCAACCGATGATTCATTTGCAATATCTCCATATTCTCCATTTAGTTCTTCAATGTCATCATCTGAATATCCGGAATATTCATCATCAGATTCTACTAATACAACCAATTCTCCATATTTGATATTTTCTACTTGGATATTATGACATTTAACTAGTATCGAATCAAGGGTTCTATTAATAATTTCCATTGCTTATTTATTTAATATCTACTTGATAATTTGGGTGTAATAAGGATTCTATTTTCTCTATTCTATGTAATTTTCTCTTTTGTTTTTTTTCTAATAACTTTTATTACTTATAGTCTTTAATTTGGCCAATTATTATTAATTTATAATATACAAATATATAATATATATATAATCAGATATGAGATGGCTCCTATAAAATTATAAAAAAAAAAAAAATGAACTTTACTTCATTTATTTGATATGAATTATAGTTGGAATATTTACTTTCAATTTCTTGAAACAAATCTTGGAATAATTAATTTTTCTGTCATGCAAGTTTTGAATTTAACGTCTAACTTTACTATTTAGTTATTTTCTTTTTTCTTTAATGTAAATAAAATATGATTTAATGCTGTATACGTCTCTCACGGTCTTATTTGCATTAATATAATTTTTTTGTGTGCAAGTATAATAAGCTGTATCTTAGACATACCAGTAGTAATATAATTCGATTACTGGTATTATCTGTGATTATTATTTTAGTAATAAATGTATTATTGTTAGTTCTGAGGTTATTAATTAATTAATAATATTAGACATTTTTGTATAATTATCTTTTAAAAAATTGATGAAAAAAAAATGAAAACTCAAGTAATGTAGAAGTAGTTGGGGTAACAAAGATGATATAATAATAGTAGTGGCAGTAGGAGTAATAGGGATAATTTAAAAGTGATAATATTATGGTTTTTATTGTCAAGAATTTGCTTGTATATTTAGAGTTTTTTCTTATTCTATAATAATATTTATATATTTAATTATTACATGCATAAAATTAGTAAATTGAGCGCCTTAAGAAATTCGAATTATTTTAAAAGAAAAACTATTGGTGGGAAGGGAAATTAAAAACTAAAATAAGAAGTAATACTAATATTTGTGCCTAAATTTCTTACAATAATGAAGACGGAAATAGGGTGAGAATAAATTTGCTAAAATATTTAGGTTGTAGTCTTGATCATGACAAATATAGATGATTATCTTTTCCTTTTTTCTGTTACTAGTGATACTATTTTTAAAATAATTATTATATTATAATAATTGTTAATGTTTTCCACATGAAAATATGTAATTACGTGTCAAAAAAAATTGCAAGTATTTTTGCATGTAAATGCCGGTATGTATTAAGAAAAAAAAGAGTGGAAATTGGTTTTAGTTAAAAAAAGTAATAAAAATCAACAGAAATTAGAGAATAATGAGGATTTAAGTTAAAAAGTTAGAGGAATAGGGTTTAAGAAAGAATAATTGGGAAATTTTCAAATTTGAGGAGGGATCTATTAATATAGGCTAGTAGTCAAATATATAATGTATTTTGCATGTATAGGCGAATTGGAAATTAGCCGCTAGATCACACGAATAAAATAATTAATTAGGGATAAATAAAAATATTAACTCTATAAAAGTAGAACTAAAGAGATTGAAATATAAGAGTTAAGGAAGCCCAAATTGAAGAACAAAAAGTGAAATTAATAAATGTTTTTAAGGTTGAAAATAGTATTATTGTTATTAGTAGTAGCAACAGCAACAACAGCAACAACAGCAACAACAGTAGTAGTACAGATTGAAAAAAATTAATAATAAATAGCAATGAAACTAAGTAATACGATATGTGGAGTTTCGTTGGGTGTAATTTTTCTATTTTTCTTAGGAAATGTTGTTGGGGTACATATAAATAAAGAATTACATAATTTGAGTATTGAAAGTGAGGGAAGTATTAAAGCGGATAATTCTACTAAAAGTTCTTCAGGAAGTGAGGGAAGTGTTAACACAAACAATTCTACTAAAAGTTCTTCAAGTTCTGTTAATAATATCAACAATTCGACTGTTAAAGGCAAAGAACAGGAGGTTGGTAGCCAAAATTTAATAGGAAATAGAACAGGTAGTAGCAACAATATTACTGCAGAAATAAATAATAATAATGTGACAATTAATCAAAATATGACAGAAATAAATAAAAATGGAACAATCAGCCAAAATAAGACAGAAATAAGTAGCAATAATAATAGCACAGATTCAGAAAAATACCACATATATAGTGGGGAATTTGATGTTAAGACAACATTATTTGAGAATGGAATTGCGTATGATGGTAAGTTTAAGACTATTTGTACTTAATTTATTTTAATATTATAATATAATATAATTAACTTTAACTGATTTAATTAACTGTAGTAAACACTGGTTTACCAATACTTCCAAATTTAATGAGCAAACTTGAAAATGATTATGATTTTGATGATATGCCAGCTTTAAAGGAAGCCCTGGAAGTGGAGATAGGATGGATTATTATTGGAATATGTCTAGGATTGTTGGCTATTATGATTATTACAGTTACAACAGTCTCTGTTATTAAACATAGAAAGAATAGAGCAAGAAGGGAAGCTTAAGAGTAACTTACTACTGTTTTTGATATAATATGCCTTTTTTTACTTATTTATTTTTGCTCTATTAAGTCACTAATAATTATACCAAGGATTATAAATAATCTATGGGGGAGATATAATTACATGCACATTTTCTGTTTTAATATATACTATTTAAGATGATTCGCGCGCCAACAGACTGACAAGCAACTTATTTGTATAATAAATTACGTAATAGGCATGATGAGATAAAGAAAATATTAGATACTCAAAAACAAAAGTAATAATAACAGCTGGATTAGAAAAAGTTTCATATAAAACCTCAATCATGAGTAGTCCAGTGTTTGAGGATTATCGGTAGTATATCTAGAAGAGTAACCTATCTATACAGTTTTGAGTGTAAGTCAGTACTAGAAAAATTTCACAATCTGGTTTTTAGGGTTTAATTTAAAAGCTACAAAAAGTTATAATTTGTTAACTTTTGTGGATTCTTATTCTTTTTTTCTTCATTACAATGATCCCTATCTTCAATATATTCCCAACTTATTAATGGTGCAAAGGCACAGACTTACGATTTGGCGCCATCTAAAAAACCGTGTTGTCTTAAAAAATTGGGACAACACACAAAAAGTGCAAGATTCTGAAAGATATTGAGAGGAATTTGAAGGAGTTGAGGTAAAAAAAGGAACAAAATGGTGCAAATAGATAATAATGGAGCTTTGAATGGGGTGGAGTTAAGAGAAGGAGGAATAAAAGATGATCAAGGCTTAGAAAGAGTAAATAAGGGGGGCCACACAAAATTAGGTATAGAAGTGGGTTTGAAGGATGAAAGCAAACCAATATTAAATGCAAGAAGAGGTATTGCTAGAATGGTAGCAGATATTGTGTTGGGAAAGGATTCAACAAAGAATTATAAACAAGGAAGTGCAGCATATTTGATTGATAAAATTCAGAAGATGTTAAGAATAATAAGCTTGGTATTTTCTTTATTGATTTTGATATTTATAATTACTTCTAGAATAAACAAAGGAAGGAAAGATATTTCTGGTTCATTTCCAGTAGGACCTTTAGGGAGATCAGTAAAGTTTGATATGATGTTGGACACTTTAGAAAATGAACATGAAAAGTTACAAGAGGAGTCATCTGGTGAGAAAAGCGACATGATTGGAGCTATTAATAAAGGGATTGAAAGCAAAAAAAATGATGATAATGAAAATTTTAAAGATTTTGATAGTGAAGTTTTAGATGATCCAGAATATTGGGCAGATGATAATGATAAAGATTTATGGGAAGATGATGCGGATGAGTACTATGATATGGAGATAATAAGCTCTGAAAAAGACGAGAATGATGAAGATTTGCAAGTTAGTGATACTATTAAAGAAGATAATAAAGTAGAAGATAACTCTGAAAATGGTAAAACAGTTCCAAATGAAAATAATACTCAAATAATAAAAGGAAAAAGGAATAAAGGCTTAAGATCAAAAGGAGTAGAGATTTTGTTGCCTTCTTCATTAACTTTATATGGCAGAGTAACACACGAAGATACATATATTAATGGAGTTTATAATATGATTATGGAAGAGAGAAAAGATGGAAAAAATTATCCTAAATTACACCATGGAAGAGCAATTTACAAAAAAGAAGGTAAAACAAGCAAAAATAATATAATTCCAACCTTATTTATAATGTTTGATGGTACTCATGAATTTTGGATAATTACTTCAAGCTTGGATCCTAATTCAAAACCTTTAGCCTTTTTACCAGACCACGCATTAATACCTATAAGACATGTTGGTCCATATGGAGCCCATTCAAATTCTACTTGGGTTTTTAGAAACAATAATGGAATTTTAAAGGACTCTAGTGTTCGTATTGTAGAAAATAGTTCAATTGAATTTCCAAGAGTACCTGTTCACATTACTAAAGCTACTCATAATTGGCATATTAAACATCATAAGGCTAATGGTAAAGTATATTCTAAACTTAAAAATGAAACCTCTAATACTAATTTAAAAGTTTTTAAAGATCCCTACAACTAATGTAAACCATTTTTAAAAGTTTGAAATATTCTAAGTTAATGTCGTTTATATATGATGGTATTTTGAGAAAAAAAGTCAGGTAGAAAGGAAATGGTAAAAAGAAAGGAAAGAGAGACAAAGTTGCTTTTTATATTAAATTTATCAGTTTGTTCTTTCCTTTAAGTCCACTTGTTTTGTTTAAAAGTTAATTACTTTCAGGTTTTTCTATTATTATTTTTAAATAAAGAAAAGTTCAGGTTTATTATTTTTGTTTGCATTTTGTTTGCATGTATATAAATGCAAAATCTTAGGTATTTTAGTTTTTTAAATATTTAGTATTCGAATTTATAACCATTCATTTTTATTACTTTGCATGCAATTACGTAATGTGTGTAAATGAATAATTCACAATTGCTATACCGGTGTTTTCATGTGGAAATTAAATAATGGCGGAAAAAATAATTATATATTAATAAATAAAGTTTTGAAAAAAACGCGATGTTGAAGTAATAACAGGAAAAAGAATTAAGTTACTGCTTATGAACTTGTAAAGCAAGTAATAAATAATGTCGGATAGTGAAGAATCTTGGTATGTTTTATTATTAGCTATTTTTTTTTCGTGAAATCATTCATTTAATTTTGGATAAAATGACCAATTTCAAAATTTATACAACTATTAAGGCATTCTTTTTTCGAAACAGAAACATTGGAGGATGTTTTCAAGAAAAAGATATTGGAATATGACCCAAAACTGGGATTAAATATATCAAAGAAAATAAGAATTCGCTCACTAGAATTGATTGACACATTAGTTTTACCATTAAATAAAATTGCTAAAGATGAAATTTCAATGATTTCATTCCCAATGTTGAGAGTAAGTTCCGTATAATATGAATAAGAATAAAAGAAATGGAAGGAATAAAATTTATATGAAGAGGAGGAAAAAGATATTAAGAAATGAATATTTACTTTTTCAATTTTAGGTTATTCGTAGAGTAGTGGTGATATATTCAGATTCAGTTCATCACTTGGCTGGATTAATTAAAACAATCCAGGATTCTGAAAATTTGATTCTTTTTCAAGTTAGTGAGTTGGAAATAATTAGGAATGGAACTATAGAAGATTATGAAACTGAAAACAATGGAGGTAGTGAAAATATTGTTAAGGAAGTTGTTCAAAATTTCAAAACTCCAATAGAAAGACTTAGATTAAAAAATATGGATCTTTCAATTATTGAATTTTTAAAACTTTTCCAATTAGAGGAATTTTCTAAATTTGAGAGACTTGATTTAGAGGATTGTGAATTTGAAGGTATTAAAAGAACAAGAATTTACGAAAACAAGCTAAAAATCTCAGTAAATTCTGTGAAGGAGTTTCACTGTATCAGGACAGATCCAATCTTTGCAAGTTTTTGCCCAAATTTAAAGGTAAGTTCAATTCAAATTAAAACAAAAAAAAAAAAAAGAAATTATATTTCAAAATTATATTAACTTTTTATCTATGATGGAGTTTAGAAAGTAATTTATGAAGCAAACTTTCCAATGCAAGATTACGTATATAACTCATTTCAAAAATATAATGATGCTGAGAAAGGTATAGGTATTGAATTTTTTGAGTTAAGAGTACCTAAGAACGAGATTTCTGAAATTCAATTCTTGGAAAACTTTTTCATTGGGAATTTTCCAGATTTAGAAAATTTAAAGGAATTTAGGATAATAGGAAACTCTACAAATAATAAGAAATATATGGCAAAAGGAAGGTGCGAAATATTAAAGCAATTAAAAGGAATTAATGTTGGATATATAAGAAAAAACGTTTTCCCAATGCTTAAAGTATTACAGTTAAGAAATTTGTATATATCTTTGGATACATTTGACCAAATACTTTTCATGTTTTCATTAATAAACAATACAAGACATTCCATTCAAAATGATAATATAGAAGATAACAATTATATAAACAATTATCAACAAGTTTTTGCAAATTATGATTTAAAGTTTGAAGATGGATCTTCTAGAAATCATAATTATAACATCAACAAATATCAAGGTATGAGTATTCAAGAGGAATCAGATTTCATGCTTAGCTCTGACTACGCCAGCTTGGGATTCTCTCACCCTGATGATATTGGTGGTAAGAACAAAAACGAGTATGAACCTTTAAGTATGAGATTTAAAGATAAAGGAATTTACAATTGTGATAGTTCAAATACTTATGGTAATCATAATGTTAACTATAATAATAATTCTAAAGAATGTGATCATATTCATGAAAAAAGTTACATAAATTATAAAATACAGAATCAGACACTTTCTCAGCATGAACCACAAGTTATGCAACCATTTCTTGACATTAGAAGTTGGATAATAAGAGTTTCTAAATCAAATGAGGTTCACCAAAATAAGATAAATGGAATACAATATCCATTCAATTCAGGAGCACTTATTCTAGACAAACAGTTGGAAGAAATGAAATTCCAAAATATAACTGAAATCCACAGGAACTTAATTTCAAACACTATTTTAGAATACCTGGTGGACCCACTCAAAACAAATCTCAGCATATCTAATTCAAAAATTATCCTTTCTTTGGGTTTTGATAATTTGATATATTCGGGATACATGCTAGGAGTGTTATTTGAATATCAAAAAACAGTTAAGGAACTCTCAGCATTGTCATTTTTAATACCAATTGATTTCTTCTGTCAGCTTGAACTTAATCAAATCCAGGTACTCAAAGTTTCATTATTTAAAGATAAAAACTTGGAACCAAGAAATCTAATTAATTTATGTTCTTGGATAGAAAAATATGGAGGAAACATCAAATATATACATATTAGAGTAACTGGAACAAGTTCTAAATGGGTACCTAAAGAAACTGAAATAATAAGACTTGTGAATATCTGGAAAAAAATGTGTCCAAAATTACGAAAAGCTAAAGATCAAGATCAAGTCAAATTTGAATGTTGTTTTGCTGATAATATCTTTTCAAAAATGAATAACTTATCTATGGACTTTGAATTTGATACTGACTCTGATTAATATAATCAAGACATTAAAACATGGAAACTAAAATTAATTAGTTTGTCTACTTAAAAGTTAAATACTAATAAAACTTATAATAACATTCAATACACTAATAAAGTTTTTTAATAAAAACAAAATTAAAATACCATCTTCATTAATATTAATTTAAACCACACCAATTATATATTGAATATTGGCCATTGATAACTTGACTTAACTTACAGAGTTAACCAGAGGTTCTACATCTTTCATATTTCTCAAAATTTCATCCTTAATTATTCGGAATTCATTTTCGGTTGTAAGTCCACTTAAGTGATCATTTGAAAGTCCAGGACCATAACTAAAGTGAGAAGTCTTATGGAAGATTTCCTCAATTTCTTGTAGATTCTTAATAAAGTTCTTTCTAAAAAGCATCTCCAGATTTGCAGAATATTTTCTAGAAGAAACTCCATAACTGGTGATAAGAATCTGAATGTTTGTAATTCTGGTCATAAGCTCATAATGTTTTATTTTAAGAGAAGAAATATTCTTGGTTAGATCCTTGATCTCTGAGATTATACTCTTAAAATCAGGATGGTTTGCCCAACATGAGATTTCATTACCCTTATTTAATTTGAAATGGTTTAAAAGACTTTGTTTATAATTGTTCCAATTTCTTATCCTAGAAGGTCTTTCGCCAAGCTTCTCTGGAAGATTTAAGGTCCAGTTTATAGAAGGATACATCTCAGAAAGAAGTTCCAATGTACTCATTTTAAACTTAACTGTAAGTGAATCATACTCTTCGGAGGGAGCCCAAATAAGACTCTTGTTATCTTCTCCTTCTAAAAATGGAAACATTATAGGAATCTTTCGGATATCTCTACCGCAATTTTCGGTTAATTTTAACATGGACACATAAACTTTATTCAATGGTTCCATTAATTCATCATATTCATTGTATAACTTCTCAATTTCATCCTTCTTATCAATGAAAGACTTAAAAGCTATATTCAAAGATTTTTTTAACTTTTTCTCTTTTTTAAGAAGCTTTTGGTACTTGAATTTAGAATGGTTTTTCATGAATCTAGATCTAATTGTTAATGAGTAAGCAAAAGAATTTGAAATACTTTTAATTTGACTTCTAGAAGCTCGGAAGAATGGCTCAGATATTAATTCAGAGAAAATGTCACAAGCTTCCTTTTCAAGTGAATTATTATGATTATTATGAGTCCTAAGCTTTTTGTTGCAAACATGGTCATTATTTTTCAAATACTTGTTCCTTCTCTCCATTTCAATCTTTTCTTCATCAATATAAAGTAAATCATCGTCTCTTCGTCTATTAAACTCTCGAACACTCTCCAAGAATCTGATTGAGAGGATATCTTGATGGAGTTTTAATAGAAATACCTGTGTTTCATGGTCAATTAAATCTGAAGAAAACAAAATCTTATTAAGTTTTGAAGCTTTAGTAGTTGAGGAGATAAATTCAAACATGGGTGATATATAATATGGTTCATTTTCAAGTATGGGAAATTCAACAAAAGTATCAGTATCTGGATTTGAAACATTTAAATTATTACTTGGAATAACAACTTTATTATCTCCATAAGGTTTCCAATCTGAAGATGGTGAAATATCTCTAATTATAGGTTTCCATACATCTTTAAACATTGTAGAGTTGTAAAAACCACTCTCTACACCGTCATTTAATGATTCTTTAAGATCACTTTTCACAAAATCCAAAAGACCTATTTTATTAACAATAGAATCTGTTTTATCTAAATATGAAAGAAAATGCCTGAATTGAATATTTGGGTACCTTCTAATAGCTTGAACAATTTCATATTGTTGATAAGTTTGAGAAAAAGAATAGAAACTTAAAAACCAAGATAAAGATTCGAGCATTGTTTTTGAATATAATGGGTCAATTACTGAATAAAATTCATTATCAGTATATGATGTAGTAATAATATCAATGACAACATCCTTATCAGTTTTTGCTTTACCAGATTTTAAACATCTATGAATAGCATTCTGTATATCAATAGTTTTGGAAATGGCTCCATCTCCAAATACTCCAATACCTGAAATTTCTGCTGGTTCAAGTACAATTGGAAATGATGAACTGGATCTTATTACCGATGGAATAATAGATTTTGGTACCTCTTCATTAAAGAAATAAGGTAAAGCATATTTAAAATGATACGCAAGAGCATTCCATTTGTTACCTTTGAATCTTTTTCTGTTTTGTATAAGATGTCTCATAAATACAAGCATAGGATAGGTTGAACATAAGTAATTTGGGAGTTTCCTACCTTCAGTAATAGCCCTAAAAATAAACATTGGTGCATTTTGAGATAAAGTACTTTTACAATTATGAACATTTTTATGTGAAAAATTCTTCCATACTGAAGCAGCCTCTGAAGAAAAATGACTACTTTGTCCACTATGATAAAATTGACTCCATATCGTATTCAAACTACCAATTGAGACTCCTGATGTGACATCCCATCTTAATTTGATTCCATGATATCTATATATAAAAGCAAGACCATTTAATAATCCTGCAGAAAATGAGCCTTTTGCTCCTCCTCCACTCATAGATAGGATATAACATTTGGATGGTGAGGAATCTTGAAATTTCTCAAAAAATTGTGGATTTAAATTAAACAGTGTTTCAGATGGTGTTCCATGAATTACTTTGTAAGTTGGATTTTCATTACTAATGTTCATACTGGTTTCTAATTTGTTAAGTTTATCCTCATAACCATATGTTCTTAAATCCATTAAATTTGTCTGGTAAATTATGGGTTTACTAGTAAAGTTTTTATGAGCTGAATGATTAATAAACCTTGAGTTATTAATATTTAAAACGTTAATTTGATCATGTGTTTTTCCCAAAGTATAATTATTTGCAAATACTATGAATGGTATTGAGTACCAGAACAGAATATAAGTAATAAGTAACCTTGCTGATAACAACTGACAGAACAATGGTGCTTTTAAAGTACCTAATGCATGCTTAAATATAGGAGCCATTACAATGAATTCACATTAAAACTTTCAAAATGACATAAGACATCTATTTACATTAACAGGAGGATAATATAACTGTAAACTTTAAATGGTAAATTGAGAAATTCTGAGTTGTTTTTAGTTTTTTATACCCTGTCTTGTAATTTATTGAATCAACTTGTTTTTAACTCGTTATCTTTATTGTTACCTAATAATGGATGTTATATATAACATAATATATATAATATATAAAATATTAAGGGGTTTGGCGCCTAGTGCTATTATTTGAAAAAAAAGCACTTTAATACAAAGGTTAGAAAAGCGGTGAGAAAGGTGTGAGGTAACGTAGGAGGTTATGCTTGAGTCCAATGATCTTTTTTTTATACATAGGAGAGTGTAAGTCTAAAGAGTTTAATAGGGAAAATAATGGGGAAGAAGAAGGGTAGGAGGGGGTATAGGTAGGTGTGTAGAAGTAGGCAGGAATTAGAGTGGCAGGAATGAATGAGAGAATAAATATGAATTTGAACAGAAACCAAATTACCAAGGAATTCTTTACCTTCTAAGGTTATTTAGTTGGTATTTGTAGTAGATTTTAATATGAATTGATAAAAACTTTTCTTTTTCTATTCAATGATTTTAAAATTGAATAATTATATATTTAATATATATATATATATATATATGTAATTACTTCGATTATATAAATAATGGCGGGAAATAAAAGAGCTAATATAGTCAAAAAAAAATGGAAATAGTTTAAGCAAGTTAGAATAAGGGATGAACTAGAAGGCTAAACAGAGGATTAGATATAAACTAAAAAGAAAGAGGTAGTGGAAAAAACATAAGGATGGGGATTTCTAAGGTAGAAAGGCAATTACAATTTGTTCCACAAAGATACTTAAGAAGAGGAGTATTTTCTTCAGTAGATTTGTCAAGCTCAATATATTCAGCTCTTCCAGAATCAGTGTGTGTGGTTAAAATACCGAATACGGTTTCAAGAGAAGTTAACAGTTTGTTAACTAGAGGGGAAAAGTTTCCATTTGGAATTCAGCCAACCCCATTTGAGGATTTTCGTATTTTTGACATTCATTTACTTGGAATAGATTACGTAGGTGTTTTAGTAGATCTTCCATGTAATATAGAGATATACAAGAGCTTGGACTGTGAGAGTATGTTTAAATCTAATAATTTAAACCAAATGCTTTATATATATGATGCTTATTCTTTGCCAAAATGGTTTATTAATTCTCAGGGAGTGAATACATCTTCCATATATACGGGCCCTATGAAATCTAATATGATGTATACTGATTCAACATTTGTCTCTTTTATTAAGTATTTGAAAGAGTCACTTCATTGGGAGTGGCCAGCAGGTCTTTTACCAGCAAGTAAAGGAATCAGATCTAGAAAGTATAGAAACACTGAATTATTTGATATTGGTGAAGTTATTGAAGCAGAACAAGAACTTCTAGATAGAGTTTCAATGCCAAACCAGGACATGGTAACTATTGATGTGGTTTCAACCAAAGAAATGGATGATCAAATTCACTTATTCAAAAATGAGCAAAAAAACTCTCCTTTCCCTATTACATCTGTTTTTGACAAAAAGAAGAAAGCAACCTGTATGGGAATAATAGGTAGAGATGATGATCTAAGAAGCATGATTTCCAGATTTAAGAGAGAAGACTCTCATAAAAAAGGAACTAAGCAAAACACTGTAGAGTTTGAAGATATTCAAAGTGATATCAGTGACGTAATTTTCCGTGAAAGCTCAGATGACGAAAATAACCAAGACAGTAGCTTGGACATAGAGCCCAATGACATTAGAATATCAGAGGAGAGTACATCTAAGATAAAGATTAGAGAACATTCATCTAGTAGTAAAGTGGTCCCTAATGACTTTACTCTCAATGAAGACTGGGACTCACATGATTCCTCTAGTGATGACTAATTTACTCAGAAATTTCAATTATATGGCTTTAAATTTGAGGTCACAACAAAAAAAGGGAAAAAAAGAAAATTAAATAAATTAAATATTAATTCTTTGCCATTTGGCGCCAATTGCATGCAGACACATAGTTAAAATATGATTTTGCATGCATATATGTTAAAGCGAATTAATGATATAGGTATAAATATATGTATAATAATTATATTAAATGCGCAATTTATAATTATAAGCACCGAGCTGGAACAAATTGTAGCGTTAATTAAGCAAGTTTAGAGCAGATTTCAGTTTTAAAGTTGTTCACATCTGCTTTTTAATATTTTATTCTGTCTGTTTATCGTCATTATTTTCCTCATTATTAGTCGTTGTATTCTCTTCTATAGGTTTTTCAACAATTTCTTCTTCATTGGCTAAGTTTCCTGACTTTTCAGTTTCCAAGGGGTTTGTGCTAATTTCATTTTCTGGGTTCTTTTCATCAAGTTTAGCATCCGATGAAAGCTTAGATTCCATTCTGGAGCCAAATTCTTTGCGTAAACTCATAGAGGCAGCAGGTTTTAGGTTGGATCTATGAGAAAGAGAGCCTTTTTTCTCGCCTCTTTGGATAAGGCTTTGGAAGAAGCCTTTGAGGGATGGGTCCCCAGAAGTACTTGAGTTGTTGGAATTGAGGGTTGATTTTGAAGGTTTGAGTCTTTGTGAAGAGCTGGATACGGATGATGTGGAGGATGAGATAGTTGAAGATGGTGCTCCTGTTCCTTTGACTAAATTTGAGTCGCCAATAGACTTGGAATCTTCAGAGTTTGAGTTAGCTGAGGGTGAGAGAAGAACTGGGGCATTTCCTGAGGAGGTGGCTTCTAGGAGTGGAATTTGGGGTCTAATTTGCTCTAAAAATTCATTTAAGGATGGGATTTTCTTGTCAAAAGCTGTGGAAAGACCATGAACTAGTTCTGACATATCAGTAGAATTGTTTGTTCTGGAGATAAATTTAGACTTTTGAACCAACTCCTCATAGATCTCTGATTTGACATTTGGAGTAGGAGTTAGAGAGAGGCGTTGAATAGGAGTTCTTGGGAGTACGCAAAGTATAGAGTTGTTTCTGGAAACAACTTCATTTACTGTCTTTAAAACTTTCCCATCTTCATTTAAAAAAGGCGTACCAAAGAGTCTGTGAAGAATGTAACTTAAGAGAAGGTCTACTCCAAAAGCCTGATGAATATCTCCTGAAGTTAAGATACTTGTAACAAAGTAGCTGATTCCATAAGGATCTCCAACATTCATTAGAAAACTTAAAGCAAATGGAATAAATGGCTGACCATTGACACCATCAGTTGGAATAGAAAATCTCTGTCCAATGTCAGACTTAGAGAGTACAACTCCTATTGGAATTCCCAAATTAACTTTAGGGTAGAGGGCGGGAACAGAAGGGGATTCTGAGGTTTCAACCTCATTAGGCTTTGGGGTTTGCTCTTCATTATCATCTCCTTGATGATCTAAAGCTTCTTGTGTTTTTGCTTTAGATTCCGGTTCGGTTTCCCCTAATTTAGTCTCAAAGTAATAGTTCATTTCCTGAATCATAATCCTCTGTAGATCTGGTGCAAAGTTTGAAAGCTCTAAAGATTTAGACCAACATTCCTGTATTTGTTGAATCCACGTTACCAAATCATCATTTAAAGTCCAAGGTAAAGAGGAATCTAAAACTATGAGAAACATGATATTTGGAGTCTGCATAGATGCTCCACTGTTATCTCTTGTATCTTCATCCAAGCTACCTCCTCCAGCTCCATTAATCATTGTTGAACCAATATCTGTTGATGATATATTCATATTCGAGTTCTCTGAAGTACTATTTCCTGAAATACTATTCTGAATGTTAAATACATCCACAAGCCTTTTAACCAACTCATCAGACATCCCACAATGGTCCACACTCCACACATCTAATGTGACATTCTTTACTGTAGTGTTTTGGCCCTCATTCAGTTCATCCTGGTCTGAATCTTCAATAGAGTCATCTTGTTCTAACTTGAAAAATTCTTCTTTAATCCTCATGCTACAAAAATCCAAACCAATATACGGACTTTCACCCACATCAGATGTAGCAAATGCACTCTTACTATCTCTCTCCTTACCTTTCTCAGAAATCTTTTTTAGCTCTGAAATGAGTTCAGTTTTACCTCCATTGGCTCTACCTAACACAAACAATGTACCATGTAAATTCTCTGTATCTTTCCCTTCCAAGCCATTCATGAAACTACGCAATATATCCTGCCATAATCCCTGTCCATCCTGCTTTCCCGCTCCGCCTCCAATGTACTTTGAGCCAAATTTTGAGAATGCCGAGGAGGAAGAATGTGGCATTGAAAATGAATCTCCTCGTGACCCTCTAGGCATTGGTAGTGTGCTGCTTTGCTTCCTCATCCTGTCCAGGTGAATCTATTTGTTCAACTTTTTTCCTTCTCCTTTTACTATTTTTTTTACCTTGCAACTTTTTTCTTTCTCCTTTCTATTTTATATTATTTGTGCATAATTTTTTTTAGCCTATACACATTTGGATAATCTTATAATGGCTCCATTTTGGCGGGAAATTTCTGTGAATTTTAATATACGCATAATGATTGGTGGTACCTTTAAGGTAAAATAACATTACGTGAGTAAACGTAAGAGAATCTTGTAAATATTTATTTGTATTTTTTGTATATAAAATTCAAGTTTTAAAACTTTAATCTATTTGTATACTGTTCATTAAAGGTTTGAGGTGCAATTGTATGTAGTCGGTTTTAAGCCGTAAATTCTATAATTTGAGAATCCGGGTAATATTTTTAAAGAAGCAGAGTGCATATTCTGTTTGGACTAATATGTCAATATGAAAACAGGAGATATTAGCAGATTTGCAATTTTACTGCTTTTTGGAGTTTTTTTCTCTGCTTTGGATGCTACAGAAAGTCGTTTGGAGCCTTTAAAAGAAAACTTATCAACAAGAACAATTGGAGATGGAATATTTAATGATGATTTGACTAGAAGTTCTAAATTGGTTATAACAGGTGATGGAGAAATTGATAAGAACACTTCTGGTAATAATTCTTCAACGATAGACCAGGAGGATTCTTCTAAGAAATTAAAGAAGCGTGGAAGAACAAAAATCAATTCTTTACTACCAAATACAGAATATTGTATAGAGGAGTTAGGCAAGTTGTTGGATTTTAATTCAATTGTATCTTCTTCATGTGGAGTTGATGCTTTAAAAAAGGTTGGAGGTTGGCTAAGTAAGCATAAAAATTCTCTTCCATATTGGCCTTCAGTAAGCTTACCAGCTCCAAAGAATCTTATAACTTTCTATGGCTGTGATTGGACGATTTGTGAGAGGGAGGTTGAGAACCAGATTGACCAAAAACTCAAGAAACTACATTTACCAGTTAAACAAATTGGAAATGCCAGTCAATCAGATACTCGTAGTTATGATAGGGCTAAAAGAGCCATAGATATTCAAATTAGAAACGGAAATATGTCAAGAGGGGAACTGATTAACTCTATAAGTATTTGGTGGTGTCAAAAAGCTCTTCCTCAGTTAATTACTGATAAAGAAACGGCCTACCATTCAATTTTCAATGAGTTCAATATTCATTTTGATCAACAATCTACAGAAAGTGGAGAAAGTTCTGATAGCAATGTTTCAAATATAGAAAGCTCAAATACCAGCTTAACTGCTGTAGAAGGCCAAGAATTAAGTGATGAGAAATCTGATGTATCAACATTAGTCTCCAAAGATCATGTTGGAGCTAATAAAGACTTTTACAAATATCCCAATAGATTAGTTTTTCTCAAAACTGCATTGGAAGAACCCATGGAGTGTTATGCAATAGAACCAGAAAAAGACCATGAGGCTACAAAAGATGAACTCAGGGAAATTTTGGATAGTGAAAGAAATAGACTAGAGTCAAATCTAGCCTTTGTTTTACAGATCAGAACATCAATTTGGCGTTCGAACAAAGCATTTTCCCCCTTAGGAAAAAGTACCAATTCAGTACAAAGACTTATTAGTACTATGAGAATATACACAGAGGAAATACGCAGAGACTTATTTAAGTTATTCCCAATTTTTGATTCAAATTCTGAAACTGTTCAACTTCCTCCACATGAAGATCTTGTTATACTTTTATCAGAGATTTGCCGTATTCAATCGATTACAGATGCAATTTCTTTGGTTGTAATCAGACTTCTCCGCAGAAACAAGATTTCAAAGATAGCTTCAGAAGATGCAGAGCACTTGTTAATGAACTGGATGTTTGCAGATATGAATATTAAAAAGTCCCTTATTCCTGTTACCAAACCTATGGTTACAAAGAAAAGCAGTCCTTTGTTTATAGAAAGAGCTAAGCGAATGAAAATTAATGCATCCAGAATCACCAAGTTTATGAATAATATTGCTGACAAAGATTAGTGCATACATACTTTGATTATTTCAGCTTACACGAGTTTACGTGTTACTTGAAATGCTCGTTTAATCGTTTACACTTATAATTAGATATTAATTTTTTCTATATCCCCTCTTTTATTTTTACTTTCTTGAAATTAAACTTTTCAGGTAGCCTTTTGATTTGATTCATTTTGTAATCTGAGCCCCATCGTCTTTTCATCTCTTTCTGAATCAGTTTTTAGCTCTTACAAAATTTAAGCAAAAATATCAACAGAGACCATTATTTGATTAATATTTCCTGCTTACCTCCTTCTCCTTCATTGTATTCGGGTCTCAAATAAATTTAAGGCAATTACTACACAAATTACATTTCCGTGTAACAATTTTCAAAGCAACATGTAACAAATATTTATTTTGCCACGTAATATTCACAAATTAAGCGGGAAATATTTTGACAATTACTTTCCATTATGGCATGCAGAAAAGAACAAGTTAAAAGAAATATAGAAAGTAAACAAAAAATATGAAATAATTAGGTTTCAGGGAACAAATATTTTCGAGATTAAATAATAACTAACATGATTGGCTCGAGTTGGCTAAATAGTCTTAGGGAATTTTTTAGATGGTAATACACATAGATGCCTTATATATGCGAAATAAAGAACTAAGGTCTTGGAAATAAAACTTACTTAATTAATACATCCCGTATTACCCAATGAAAAAAACATTTATGTAATCACACAAATACCATTAAGCAAATTGGCAGCAAAAATGATATCACATAATATTATATTCATTCCTTTTGGAACTTTAGCTTACAATATTTCACAATATATTTATTATAATATATGAGGGTTAGCTTGGGAATAATATATTGGTTAAAGCATTATTTGGTTTAAATTTATTCAATATCTGAGCGTATTTGTTCGGAGACTTTTTTAATATTTTGAATAAACTTCTCATCCTTAGAAAGTTTGTATTTTGGTGAATTGGATGGACAGTAAGATTTCTTTTTTACAGAAGTACATTGATTAAGACTCTTCAAGTTTGATACAATATTTTTCTTCATTGGTGACCAAATTTTATCAACAATAGCTTCGGTTTCAATTAAAATAACTGAATATTCCTCAGATGACTTTGTGATCCAAAAAGGAAGGATCTTCACTTTCTCTAACAGAGTGTTATCAATGTGCCTCAGAAGAGTTGAAATCTTTGAGATTGTTGCAGCTTCTTTCTTACTAGGTTGAATTTTTGGCTTTGGTGAGACTGCTTGAGATGAAAGATCTTTAACAAATTTGATCTTCTTAAATGATGGACTTTTAATTATTTTCCAAACAAGTTTCGAAAGCTTAAGTAAATTTGAATTATGAATTTTAGATTTCTTGAGAATCATCTTTAACAAATAAATAAAATCTGATAGCCTTGCATATCTTATTTCAATTCTCTTAAATTCATCGCAGTATAACTTGAGCTTTAATGCAACTTGTCTTGGGAATATATTTAAATGAGAATTTTCAGTATGATGAAAACATCGTTGCCTAACCAGTTTCAAAAGCTTCAAAGTTTTTTTTGAAACAGAATATAAACAGTCCACGACCTCAAAAATATTTTTTTTTGAACAATGATCAGAGATTATTTTCATGTTGAATAGATTTGGGCTAATATATAAACTTTCAGAAAGAGTGTAAATTGCCGTCTGAACAGTGTAATCATACCCTGCTCCCTTAGGGACAGTGCTTCTTGCATATTCTGACGATGAATTAAGTTTTATTAAATTTTCCTTTTCAGAATTTGAAAGTGTTTTAGTGAAAAAGTCAAATGATTGTTCTAATTCTGGATCAGATATTCGTAAATTCCCAGCACCCAACTTTTTTCGTGTTGCAGCCGAGCTAAACACTAAATCCAACCATAAAATACCAAGAAATGTACTGAAAGTCAGAATTAATCTAACATTCATCCTTAATTCTTTATGATTCTTTTTTTTTAATTATTAAGATTATCAAGGATAATGTGCGCATTTACGCGGGAAGATTCACGTTACCATACATATAAAATAAATAAAAATATGAAAGAAATCGTTTCTAAATAAATTCATTAGATTCTGTATATATATGATTAATATTTTTCACATTTATTGTGATGCTTAAAATAAATATGATTTTAAGGAATTTTTGTGGTAAATAATCATTCTATGAATATTCCAAAAATAAATAAATGTTTAATTCGGAATTTGAGTATTAGAGAGCTAAGTAAATTGCCAATCACATCAGACTAAAGTGATTTAACGATTCGGCATTAGACTTGTGGTCCAAAACATTTGGTTTTGATTCATACACTGCTTGTACTGCTTTCCTCTGATATCCTGAACTCTCACCTATTATTCTGATATAATAAATCCAACTCTGATCGTTTGAAAAAGAGCTTGGAAAATGCATAACCAAAAGGTCTACATTCTTAAACTTTGATACTTTAAGAGAGTAATCGACCGTTCCACAATAATCTTCAACTAAATCTAAGCTTTGAACAGGTTCTTGATCAGGAATACTGGAAAAATCTAGAGTTTCATCATTTATATAGAGATTCACTCTGTTTGGGGATTTACCATTTTCTCCTCCTATAATATTAAGAGAATTGATTTTACATGGAGAAGAAAATTTTACAAAGATGATCAACTCTGGGTCGTCATCTTGGGATTTGCACACTTTATCTTCACGTAATCTTTCTTCGTACGGCCTAAATATTCCTTTGCAAGACCCTACATTTAGCTCATTTAAAGCCAGTACTTTATCTAATTCAATATGAGGAAGTAAGTCTTTCCCTCCGGTTATTGCAGCCTCATGCTGACAACTGCAACCTGCTCCCCCATGTTCCCCTGGCATTTCCAACTCACTACTCTATCTAACTAATTGTTTATTTTTTTTCTTTATCTAGAACTATTGATTACACCTCTATTTTTCTACTACTGCCTCCCCTCATTTTTATTTCTATTGTTTAAATATTAAGAATATTTGGCGCGCAGAAACGACACCAATTTTGAGCGCCTTATGTGTTTACTTACAAATTAAACTAAAAAGATAAGAATTTTGTCATGATAAAATTTTGGTTTTCTTAGAGTAAATTGGAATGAATTAATCTTGATTATGACGAGATTTTTTTATTATTTAGTACGGTATAGTTGCTACCTTAATGATTATAGATTTGTTTGGTGTAGTGTAGAATGTGAGTAAATGTGAGCAACATTGCAAATAGAATTAACCTAATTTGAGATTCGATGGATTAAAGTTTGTGAGAAATTACTAATCATTTTCTTAGTAAATAAACTTTAGTTAGGGGAGGGATGTGTTGTGGGATGATAGAAATTGTATTTTAAGTTTTCTTTGTAATAGTCTGTGAAAATTTAATTAAAATTAGTCAGCGCCTATGCTAAAAGCATATTTTTTAAAGACGTTTGTCTAGCATAAAAAAAAGCCAGAAAATTATTATTATATTAAAGTGCATATAAATCACATAAAGGCCCTGATGAAAGCTTACTAGTAATTGTATTATTTAATGGATTTGGAAGTTGAATTTTCGGACTCCTCAACAGAGGGGGAGTTAGACACTTTGGGGCGATGTTTATCTACTAAGGATATTGGCTTAGAAACGGTGAGCCGAAACCAAAGTCAGAATCAGGTTCAATCAGGTAGCTGTTCAAGGAGTGGGAGAATTCGTAAGATGCGGTATTCAAACTTTTCCAATATTGATAATGAAAGTGAGTTATCTGAGGAATCTCTTTCTGATTTTGGGGAGGGATCTAAAATACAAAGAACACGGGATAGATACAATAAGAGTAGGACTTCCAGGTCAAAGAGTCAGTCTCGGAAGAATGAGGACCTTGAATATGTGAACGAGGAGGAATTTTATGACAGTGATGATGACGATTTTGTGAGTGATGACTTTAACACAAATTCACTTGGTGCTAGAAAGAGTACAGACTCTGATGATGGTGATGAGGATTTGTATGAAGAGCCAGTTCAGAAGAAGCGAGGTAGAAAACCTTCTAAAACCAAGATATCACAAAATAATGCTGTTAAGAGGACTGCAAGGAGTAGTCGAAAATCAGTAAACTATTTAAGTTTTGATGACTCAGTTTCATTAGACTCATTAACTCAAGAGTCTGATGAAGCAGAGGCAGATGTATCTGTTTCAACCCAACAGAATGTAAGGACAATAGACAGAGTAATTTCCAGTAGACAGAACCCTGAAGAAAATAATATAACGCAATATCAAATTAAATGGATGGGTTATTCTCACCTACACAATACATGGGAGTCAGCTGAATCTCTAATAAATGAAGGTGTGGCTGGCTTGAGGAGGCTGGAAAACTTCCAAAAGAAAATGGCTGATATGATTCAAAGACGTAAATTAATGACGGAGGACGAAATAGAGCAGGAAGATATTACATTTGAAATTCAAAGACAACTTGATTTGGATGCTTTAATTCCAGAGAGAATTGTTGATATTTATAGAGAAAATGACAATTCTGGAGTAGTAAAAAACAATGAGGAAGATCGGAAACAATTATACTACTTTGTTAAGTGGTTGAGTTGTCCTTATGACCAATGCACTTGGGAGTCTTATGAAACTTTAGAAGAACATAACTTCCTGTCATACATTGACTCCTTCTATGCTCAAATGGACCTTGTTTCTAAGTTTGATAAGAGTTGTGACTACGAAATGAGATCTCTTGCCCTAACCTCATTCGAGCCTTATCTTTCAACTCCTTTTTATATGGGAATAAAAGTTAAGGATATGTTAAACCAAAACAAGAATTTGGAAAAGATAGATATTAAGGATGCGATACCCGAAAATGATCAGCCAATGAAGATTGAGTATCAACCCAATAACAATGAAAATAAGCAGGGCAATTCCATTTCAGAGGATGTAAAGATGGAAGATAAAGACACTCAAAATTATGAAGCTTTTAAAGAAGAGGTTGAAAAGGTAGAGGATTCTAATGACGAACCATTCCAACCGAAAACTCTCAGGGACTATCAAATTTATGGCTTAAATTGGATGATTTCGAGGTTCAAGAAGAATGTAAATGTTCTTTTGGCTGATGAAATGGGGCTTGGAAAGACCGTTCAAACAATTTCTGTAGTTGGGCATTGCCTATACATGGAAAAAATTGTTGCTCCATTTCTTGTTGTGGTACCTCAAAGTACCAGTGATAATTGGCTACGAGAATTCAAAAAATGGCTACCAGACGCAAATGTTGTGTTATATCATGGTAATGCCTATGCTAGGGAACTAATAAGGTCTTACGAACTTTCAACAATTGAAATGAAGGATGAAACCAATGATAATGAAGACACTGAGAACAGTGATTTGATTGAAAAGAACTGTTTCAATAATTCAGATTCCAAAGATGAAACACGTGATAAATATGGTCATAAAAACATGCAAAAATACGCGCGCGCGGGGACTGGTGGTAATGGATTATTTAGGCGTTATGGGTCGAGATCGTCCAGGCAAACAAGAAGGAGATATAGATTTGATGTAGTAATAACTACTCCTTCAATACTAAACAGCCAAGTCGACTGTGACTTTCTTCGCCAAATTGATTGGTATATGATGATAGTGGATGAGGCTCATCAATTGAAGAATAGGGACAGTAAGCGTTTTAAGGAATTGCACGAGTTTGGAACAATGTACAGGCTATTATTGAGTGGAACTCCATTACACAATAATTTAGAGGAGCTTTGGAGTCTTTTACATTTTCTTAATCCATTAAGGTTTCAAAATTATCAAGAATTTAGACTAAGGTACCCTGATATAGAGAATCCAAATGTTATTGGGCCAGATAAGCAGAGACAATTAGAAGAACTACAGAATGAATTACAAGAGTATGTTTTAAGGAGAGTGAAGAGAGATGTTGAGAAAAGTTTGCCAAATAAAGTGGAACGAATTCTAAGAGTGGAACTTTCTCCTCAACAGACAGACATGTACAAATCAATTCTGACTCGTAATTATGACGAACTGAGTAAGACTACAGGAGGTACAAAGACCTCTTTGCAAAACATATGTATGGAGCTTAAGAAGGTTTGTAATCATCCTTTTCTGATTCACAGGCCAGAGCTAGATCCTTCTCAGGGTATTACAATTGCTAGCATTCAGCACCAGCTTGTTTATGGATGTGGTAAATTGTGCCTACTTGATAAATTACTTTCAAGGTTAAAAGAAAAAGGAAGCAGAGTACTGATTTTTTCCCAGATGGTGAGAATGCTAAATATTATATCGGAATTCTTGATTCTCAGAGGATTTAGACACCAACGTTTAGACGGGACAATGGGAAAAGAACTTAGAAAAAAAGCAATGGATCACTTTAATTCTCCTAATAGCGACGACTTTTGCTTTCTTCTTTCCACCAAAGCTGGCGGACTTGGAATTAATTTAACTACTGCCGATACTGTAATCATCTATGACTCAGACTGGAACCCACAGAATGATTTACAAGCAGAAGCTAGAGCTCACCGTATAGGCCAAAAGAAACAAGTTCAAATCTATAGACTTGTTACTAAAGACTCAATTGAGGAAAATATTCTTGAGAGGGCAAAAACTAAAATGGTCTTAGACACTTTAGTAGTTCAAGGACTTAATAACATCAGCTCAAACAGCTCTCAACCACAAATTAGCTCTTCTGCAGCCGCATCTGTGGTTGCTATGGCTTCCCAGGCACTTTACCCAAATGGAAAAAAACCTGGCTCTGGTGGAGCCTCTTTTAGTCGTGATGAACTTGCCAAAATATTAAAGTTTGGTGCCCAGAAACTGTGGAATAAAGGAACAGAAAAAAAACCCGCCCAAAATATGTCAAGTTCGGACCCTGCATATAGTCACTGTGCCAATTCTGAATGTGGGGAAACTTGCATGCACGATGGAATTCATGTGGACAATAATCAAGGTGCAAAAAAACAGTTAAAAGTAGAAAATGAGAATTCAGAAGATTTTTTGGAGGAAGATAGAAGATTTGCATCTCAGATTGATTTAGACCAAGTCTTGGCTGACGCTGAGGAACATGTACATGATACACAGGGCCTGGCTGACGGACTTTTGCGTTCATTTGCAAATATTGCAGATTTTAGGTATGAGGCGCCACCCCTAATCATTGATTCAAACACTGGAGCTTTGGTTCCGCTGAGCGAGAATAAAAAGGCAGAAGGTGAAGTGGATTTTGATAGTAAAGAATTTTGGGAAAAGACAATTCCAGAGGAGGAGAGGCTTAAGTTAATGGAACAAAATCAACAAAATACAATAATTACTGGTCCTCGAAAGAGTGCTATGAGAGATGGTTCTCTAAAGTATAGAGATGATGGATATACATATGTTGGTGTTGATAATTCTGGGTCTGATGATGGGAAGTTAGGCGATCAAGGATCAGATGAGGACGAAACTTTCGCAACAAAAAGTAAAAAGCAGTCAAAAAAAAAATTCAAGGAAAAGAATAAGAAATCAAGTGGGGGAACTTCTGGAAAGAGTAGAGCTTCTGGCTCAAATGGAAATAATAAGAAAACAGATTTAGGTCAATCTGAACAAATTGAAAATACTGAAATGAAATTAGGTTCTGAAAAAGATTTGGATAAAACTCCAGAAAGTTTGGGAGAATTAGTTCCTAATAAGGAATATCCGCTTCCTGAGCAACCACTGCATAATAGGGAAGACTTTGAAGCATTAATGTTGGAAATAACTAGTTTTCCACACAAATATAATCAAGATAATGAACAATTTCCAACTGAAATTAATAAAATCTACAGAGACATCTCAAACGGGGTAAAGTCAGTTAAGAGTGGGAAGAGATCAAGAAGAGATCCTCGAGTACTGCATCCAAAACGTAGGTTTAAGTTATTTAGGTCAATCTTAAAATTTGGAGATCCATATAGAAGATTGGATGACATTATAATGGATTCCAGATTAAAAGGTAAAGTTGAAAGGGGTACTATATTGAATGAGTCTCAGATTATTGTTGCCCTGTGTTACGAGAAAACCCAAAAAGAATTGGTCTCTGAAAGTGCTTTAAACATATCCAAGGAGGAGGTAGAAATTAGAGATGAAGAGGATATTCAAATTACTAATTCAAATTGTGAGGGCACTAGTATTTTGGAAGGCCAATCAACTGCAGATACTACAATAATAGGAGGCGTATCTTTAGAACCTGGTTCAATAGAAGATTTTGTTGAGGAAAATGATGTGGATAATAGCAATCATGGTTCTAAGGCCTTAAAAAAGAATTTACTTTTGATTGGAAATCACAGAGCAAATGCTTTAGAGCTTGTTGAAAGGATTAAGATGCTATCTTCACTTGATAAACTGATGAGAGAATGCAATCCGGGGGTAGAAAAGCCTTGGAGTCTTCCAACTGGTCCCTTAGCTAGGCCAGATAGAGAATCAGTTAAGAGAGATGAAGATAACGAGAATGAAAATGAGGATGATGCTGATGACGAGGATGAAGATTTAGATGAAGAGGAAGATAAAGAAAAACCGTTTGATCTTTCTGTTGAAAATTCCTTTGAAGTTAAAGAGACAGAACCACCTACGGAGAATGAAAACCAAGAAAAACCATCTGATGTGAGTGATCTTGAGGGTAGGTACCTTAAATTTGAGCTTCCTCCTATTTTGGTTAAATCACTTAGAACTCCTTCTTGGGGGATTCCCTGGACTCTTCAAACTGATATCGATATACTCAAAGGCATTTATATATACGGATTTTCAAATTGGACAATGATGTCAATGGATGAAAATTTGTCTCTCTCATGTATTAAAAGTGTAAAGTTTGATAAGCTAAAACAAAGAACTTTAAGAGTGATGAAGCATTTACATTCAGTAATGGTTATAGGTAAAACTGCTCGTAAGAAAAGAAAACTTATCCCAGCTTTTGCTTCTGATCAAGAATATCCCGATACTTGTAAAGGTGAGAATTCTATCCCTAAACGTGGTAAGAAGGTTGCAAGAAAGTATGAGGATCCGAACCACAAGGATAAAGGAGGGCAAACATTTGGACAGTTTAATGATAACAATGGCAATGAAATTGCAAATTATTCAAAACCCTTAGTTGTTGGTGGTAAAAAGGGACTACCAGAATTTGTACTTGAATGTTCCAATATTGATGAGAAGGATTTAAAAAAACAAGCAAGGACGTGTTTTAATCATAGTAACGTAAAACCTCAGCTTTTAGAGATCAAGAAACTTTTCCACCCTACAAATAATATGACCGACTCCGATGTTGTTGCTAACCTCAAAGTTTTACTTCCTGTTGTTGGGGATGAAATCAATGAGATCCTTAAATTTGCAATGAATGAGGAAACCAGAAAGAAGGTCCACGACTGTCTTTGGTCTTATGTTGCCAAATGCACTGTTTTCCAGCCCCAAGACATAGAAAAGATTTATCTTAGCTGGAAAGGCATTGTTTCTCCAGAGCCTAGTACAGGTGCTGTCACTGAAATCAATCCCAATCCTTCAATTGAGCTTGAAACTGACCCTGAACCTAAATCTGGTCCTAAACCTGAGCCAGAGCCTGAGCCTGTGCCTGAGCCTGAGCCTGAGTCTAGTCATACCGGTCGTTCTAATTTTCAATAACTCAGGGAAAATATAATATTATTCTTTCTAGTGAAGATTAATGCCTTAATACTGGGGCCGAATCCCTTAAAGCACTTAAGCTGGATTTCAGCAATACAGACAATCTAATACATATTCAAATATGCAATCTGCAAACTGGCTGGCTCCTAAGGCAATCATCTACGGCTAGCTGGTTCAAGCCATCACTTCCAAGTGAAGAATCGCGTTTGCCTTGTAATATACTGGTATAAACTATTTGCATTCCTCTTTGGCGCCAGTTATTTTTTAATCTCATTTTTGCTTTTATTGATACTTTTTTCAAGTTTTTATAATTATTATTCTTGTAAACTCCCTTCTCCTATTTACTTCCAAATTCTTTCTTCATTTTACTTTCTATATATTATCCGATTTCACTTCAATAGAGAATTAATATATGCATTTTTTTATTAAATCAATGATAGTCAAATTAATTTGCCACGTGTGCAAAAAAAAATTTAATGAAATTGCATGTGGGGTTTCCCTTTCTATACCGGTATTTAAATATATCAACAAAAAAAATAGAAAAAAAATATAAAATATTAACGAGTTAAGGTAGGATTTTAAATTTAAAAAGCTCAAATACTTAAGATTTTTTTTGAATGCTCAAGTTTCTAAGGTAAAAACAAATATATTAAAAGGAAATATAATATAACATATATATTTGCTTTACTTCGTACACGTAAGTTATTTAAAGTATTACGAATTTATTTTTTTTATTTGTTTATTAAAGCAATTACCCATTTTTTGTAAAAAAAAAGTGACTATTACATTAATATGTTTTTTCCCATTGAAAGTAACAATCATTTTACCACAAAAAACACAAATTTAATTAATGATGCTTCGAAAAAGTTCAGAGACCTCCAAACACTACCATTTGAATCAATTTGTGCTGGAGACCAAACTCTTAATTGCGGAAATAATGGAAAATGTATATCTTTACCAAATGTTTCCAATCAAAACCAATTCTTATGTGTATGTGATGATGGTTTCACTGGTCCAAAATGTGAAACTGGTGAGTTTCTAATAAGATCTAACAAGTTCCTGTTATACTCTAACTAAATATTTATTTTATATAATAATCATTAGCTTGGGATGCTTGTTTGAGTTCCGGACCCACTTCTCTTTGTTTAAATGGTGGAATTTGTACCAGTACTGATACCCACCCATTTTATCAATGTAAATGTACTGTTGGATTTACTGGGAACAATTGTGAACTTGAAAATAATGTATGTAAAACTAATAACCCATGTCAAAATGGAGGGAAATGTACATATATTGGAGAAAATTTACCCATTTTATGTACTTGCCTTACTGGATACACTGGTGATTATTGTCAAATCACTGTTGAACATGGTATTGGTGGAGCAGGAATTCTGCTTCACCCAGGACAAATCATTATGATGTGGGCATTCCTCATATTTGTCCTTGCCACCATTCTATATTGTACATTCTCCGTTGTTTATGACATAATTGTACAAATCAGGGCAAAGAAAAAGCAGAAAGAAAAAGAAGATGTAGAAGAAGACGTTTCTTCCCCAACAAATAAATGATAAATTACAAGTTGTTATTATCAAATTAATTTAATTCCAGCAATGATAGTTACAAACTAAACTAAAAATAATAATAAACATTTTTTAAAAAATTGTCTTATTCATTTAGTTTTTCATTTGTACTTCATAATATAAATTCTATCGTTATTATTATCCTCAACTTCTTTCTATTTATTCATCTATCTTCATAAATTATTACTGAAATTAATTCCACCTTATTTTTCACCCAATATTGTTTTTTTCTCTTCTTCCCCCTAATAATTTCAACCTCTTCTCCCCTCATTCTCATTAAATACCTTTTATATACGATCTTCTCTACTTTGAATATGTCATCCACCCTATTAAATCATTAATTCTACTTTTACTTTAGCGCTAATTTTCTTTGCAATACATCATTATTTACCATAATAATCATCTCACTATTCAATCTCTATATTTACATCTATCAAAAAAAACCCTATTTTTTCATTTCCTACTACTTTACTTTGTTTTTTCCTGCTATATTAAATCCTTAGTAGAACCTCTAAAACTGATATAATAATTTTCTGATCACCTCTTTCTTTCTCCTTAATATTTTAAAGTAATATTTATATTATTTATTTGTTTATTGATTGTTCTAAATATATATATTATTTTATCAGCCATTTATCGAAATATTAATACTAATTAAATTTATCAAATATTACTTTACAAATATTAAAGATTTTCCCATATATATTATATTAATCTATATCACTATTTCATCCAATTCATTAAATATTTTTTAAAAGAATTAATTTAAGATGAAAAAAAAATAGAATCAGCCATATTTAGAGGTTGTGGTGGTGTATTATATATAGACATATATATACATCATATTCTATCTCTCCTTTAAAATATTAATTATTAATTATATTTAATTAGTGGGCCATTATTTTCTCCCCCAAAATAAATAGATGTTTTAACATAGATATATATATATATATATATTACTTCTAATTCCTCCTACATTCCGATAAATACATATTGCATAATTCTAATCGAAAAGTTAAACCTGTTTCTTTTCTTATTATTGCCTTTGAATCTCCTCAGTTGATTAAAATTAATATCTATCTTGTTAATAATAAATTGTGTATATTCAAAATCCAATAACATATTATGTGTATATACCAATAATAAACAAATATATATTTGCCCGCCATAAGATCTTCACCACTTTATTTTATTTACTTTTTTGTTAACTAAACTTAACCATAATTGAAATCCCATTTTAATATGAAACAAAAATTTAAAAATACATAATAATAATAATTTAAAGTTAAGTTCCACAAATCTTGTTATGCTTGACTTCTTTTTATTGCTTAATTCTGCTTTTTATGTTTGCTTATTTTTTTGGTAATCTTTCTAATTTTATTAAAATTAATCCAAGCATAATTTTTTTTCTAAATAATTAATTACACTCTTAAAAAGCGAAAAATTTAATATTCTCGGTTTTGATTTGTTACTTTACTCATTCTTATCTTTCTGATCTACACCATTAAATAAGTAACATGAAGCTAAAGCAGTAATTAAAATAATTAACCAATGTATTATTGTTGGCTGAGAGGTACTATATCTTGATGAAGAATCTTTATTATTTGGATTTGTATTATCATTATTATTGGAGTCCAAATCTTGAGAACCAGTATTATCAACTAATTGTTGCTTTAAATATAATACCAACATATTACCAGTACCATTTTCTAATTCACTGTGATTTTCTTGGTAGTTATTTTGGTAATCAAGTGAATGATTGGTAGCACCAGTATATTGTGCAGCTGATGGAGATAAATACGAGGAGAGTGAGGATGGCAAAGTCAAGTTTTTTGGCTCCCAATACGATTCTGAAATAGTTTGATTGTCAGCACTATATCTATAATTTGTTGTTTTAGTTGAAGTTTGACCAGTACTTAAACTTGGGTTTTTACCATTAAGTTCAGTACTAGAATGATGTTGATTACTATTACTATTAACATTAAAATTTCTTGAATTGGAATCAAATACTACAACCTCAGATTTCATGATTGATTCTGGGGATGATGATGATGTATCTTTTAATAATTGTGACATCTCAGATGTAGAAGTTCTCCTTGCATGTGCAATTTGTGGACAATTTGACTTAACAAATGATGCTCTTGAATTCTTTACATCTATGATTATATCTTTGTTAATAAAGAATGATGCACCAAGTACTAAGAATGTTTTATCTGAATCAAATCCTAAACAATAAGTATTTCTGTATTTCTTGTAAAGGTATTGAGCTGGCTCCCAATCGACATTCAAACCTGAGAATCCTAAAGTAATTGTTGGGAAACGTGACATTTCATTTGAATCTTTTAACTTCCAACATCTTTCGCCTTTAGATGTTTCAAGCATAATTCTAGACAGTGAAGAATCGATGTCAAACTCTTGGAAAGAAAATGTACTAGTAGCAGTAGTAGAAGTCGAAGTAGAATTATTAGTATCAGTATTAGTATTATTATTAGTATGGTTTAAATAATCAGAGATCGTTTCATTTAATTGATTTTGAGTTGAAAAATTGTCAAATAAATTCTCAGAATGAACAGTTGAATTAAAAGTGTTGGTAAGATCCTCAATATTACCAAGCCTTCTGTAAATCCTCTTTCTATGTAATGCAGCTCCAGGAATCTCTCCAGGGAAAATTGAGATTGGTTTAATTTCCAATTCTAATTCATCATTAGATTGTGATTTAAAACCAGTATATTCCAATAATTTTGACCCAGCTTCAACCAAACTTCTGTAAGTTGATCTATTCTCAGTTTCTGCTATTCTCAGGTTAATTATATTTAAAATCTGGTTAAATATATGTTCGGGGAAATATGTCAAAGTTGTACCACTATCAATAACAAGTGGAACAGGTTTTGTATTACTTGAAGACGAATCCTTGTGTAAAGTTAGCTTAGTCTGATGAACAGTAACTTTAGTAAGCTGAACATAGTAATTTCCATTTATAATAGATAAGGGAGTCCATTGAATTTTAGAATCCATGGTATTCTTTGAATTAGAACGTGATTGGCTTGAGCTTGAACTTGATAAAAATGAATATCCAAGCATTCTTTTTAAAAAATTATTGTCATTAGTAGATCTAAATGATTTATCATTACCTCCTAAAGCCCAATATTCAGAGTTATAACCTCCTAAAGAAATTACACCACCTTCTGGGCTAAAGCATAAAGACAAAATAGCATCTTTAGCATATTTAGATCTTTTTGTCCAAGTTTGAAATAACGGTACTCTTTCTTGTGAACTAGCAGTATATGCCAATCCAAGAATACCAGAAGCTGCTTGTGTAAAGAATAGATTAGTTTCATGAGTAATTCCACCAAATATTGTTGACAACCCAACTACATATGGTGATGGCTCAGAAGTATCTCCTTTTTCATTTCTAATTGCGACAAAATCTTCAAAGTAACTTCCTGACAAACTGCTTCCCTCCAAATAATGAATAGTATAAGCACATTGTCTCTCATGGTTCACACAAACCTTACAATAAGAATGGCAAGAGACTTCTCTTCTTGTTGTACTTTTAAAAGGATCATAATATGCATCAAGGTGTGTACCACACTGTTGGCATTTAGTAGTACTAAAAGCAAGAAGATTACTTCCTGTATCCAAAATAACACTCTGTCTCTGAGGTTCTGGAAGTCCAACAAAAATATCAGAATAATAATAGGCAGTTGAAACTATACTACCATAAGCCTTCATTTGAATTCTCGCTTCCACCTTCGAGAGGCCAAACCCAAATATTACTGCTCCTAAAGCAGTAATCAATTTTTTAATCGTCTTCATATTGGCTCAACTTATTTGTTTCGTCTCTCTTCTTCTTATTTTTTCGATTTATGTCAATTCAAGAAATTATTCCAATCTCCCAGTTTTACCTCAAATCTTATTTCGAAACTTTCCCCAATATGTTTGGCAAACAGCCTCTCTCTTCCTTTAAATTCAAGTTTCTTTATGTAGACAATGCACACAATACTGTCTATTCACACCAAGATGCAATAAAGCCTTTATTTGATTTTTCTTACGCCTAAACTGCATCTCTTGCCTATTCCTGCTGTCCAATGAGCCCGCCTGAAAATATAAGGATTTCACAAGAGGGGAAATTCTCAAGTAGGAAAGGACTTAATTTACAGATTTTTCCACCCAAGGTTAACTTGGGATGGCCATCTGAATTTTATCAACTCGTAAGAAAATTACAATTATTGATTTTAAGTTCCCTTGGCTTTTCAACGTTGGTTCGGGCAGTTTTTTCATAATTCAAAAATACCTATTTTTCTATTTTATTCCCTTACATACCCCGCTTCCAACCTATATAATAGTATTGTTTGACTCGAAATTAATAATCTATAGATTTTACATACCGGCATTCATGCAAACATAATTGCATGTGGTTGGACCACTTTTATCCACATATAAATATTATTTCATATAAAAGTCAATTGTGTATTTAATTAAAGTCAATTAATTTCATTTTTTTAAGCTTAAAAAAAAAAAATAAAATTAAAAAAAAAATCATACTAAATAGCTTTATTCTTGTTAAATATTTTAAGTTATTTAAATGAAAAAATCATGTTATTCATTTAATTAATTAAAATCAAAGCTGAAAAAGCTTCAGCAGAATTCATTTTCCACCTTAAGAAATATCGAATCTCACATTTCTAAATCTAACAAAACATTCTTAAATTTTGAATTTTCAAAACACTATTCTCTAAACTTCCATTAACCTTAACTTCAATTTTAACTAGTATTGTAGTAGACGCATACGTTAGGGACTAAAGGAAAGACATGGAAAATTGCAGTTAGACATGGGAAAAACTTAAGTGACTAGTGGTCATTAAAAGAAGTTAAACTGCATCATTGGGAAAGATGCAAGATTTTTGACAAATAAAATAGGGGTAGCAGATTGAGAATAGGGGCTTTAGTGAGATCTGAAGAATATTTTAGACAAAAATAAATAAGGAGAGATTTAAAATCATTATTATAAGTTTAGTAAACATAAAGCTAAAAGTTCAAAAAGTAAATGAGAGGTGAATTAGATGAAAAAAATTAAGTTATTATTAAAATTAGAACCTTATCAAGAACAACAAAAAAGATTTTTAAGATGAATCTGTCAAGCCTTTCCCAGCCATTGGGAAAAAACTATATATATGAGAGATATTCTAGATTTGGGATGAATAATTCCATTATTAAAAGAACTTTTCAAAACCCTATTTCTGTTTATAATGAGCTTTTAGCAACAGAATTACTACCAACAACAGAAAGTGACTTTTCTGCAACGATCAAGTTAAGAGTAGGCTCTCAGTCCATGGGATTACAAGAAAGAAGAAAGTTAGGGAATCATAAATCATATGGTGATGAGAATGAATATTCTCGATTAAATTCATGTGAGATATTTGACCCATTTGCAACTGTACCTTTGAGATCAGTTTCTATGGATCCAGCATGGTTATCTTCTTCAAATATGGGAATGGGTCCAATTTCAAGAAAGATTCCAAAGGGGCCATTCAAAATTCTGGATGCTCCCAATTTACAAGACGATTTCTACTTAAATTTAGTTGATTGGAGCTCTACCAACTTGCTGGCTGTTGGACTAAGCTCATCAGTTTATTTATGGAGTGCATCAACATGTAAAGTCACCAACTTATTAAATCTGCAAGAGCAAGATACTGTCACCAGTGTATCATGGACACAACAAGGTAATCACCTTGCTGTCGGAACTAGACAAGGCTCCGTCCAGATTTGGGATGTTGTGGAACAGAAAAAGGTACGTACATTAAATGGACACAGAGCAAGAATTGGTGCAATGGATTGGTGCGGGCCGATCTTGGCAACGGGAGGAAGGGACCACACTGTATTATTAAGAGATGTAAGAGAGCAAGAACACTGGTGTAGCAGGTGGTTGGGACATAAACAAGAAGTTTGTGGTGTTAAATGGAGTCCAAATGAAACCCAGTTAGCTACTGGAGGTAATGATAATAAGTTACTTATTTGGTCACAAGGATATGATACTCCAGTGTGCCAGTTTCAAGAACATACTGCTGCAGTCAAAGCTTTATCTTGGAACCCCCATCAATCTGGGCTTTTAGCATCAGGTGGTGGAACTGCTGATAGACATATTCGTATTTGGAATACTGTTACTAATTCATGTGTAATGGCAGTAGATACTGGTTCACAAGTATGTAATATTGCTTGGAGTGGAAATGTTAATGAATTAGTATCTACCCATGGGTATAGTTTAAACCAGGTTATATTATGGAAATGGCCATCTATGCAGAAAATTGCAACTTTGACTGGCCATACATATAGAGTTTTATATTTAGCCGTATCTCCTGATGGTCAAACTATTGTAACAGGGGCAGGCGATGAAACTTTAAGGTTCTGGCAAATATTTCCATCAGGAAGACCAAAAGGTCCACAAAATCTAGCAGCTTTATCAGTACCAAATGCACCAGCAATGAGATAAGCCAAATTAGAACCTTTAATAGAATTAAACATATATGTAGAAATATATTAATAAATTATATATGTACTATATTTTGATATTCTCTTTAAATCAAGTATCTAGTTAGAAAATCTCTTTAAGAAAAGAGTGATAATATCTTATAGTCCATTTAACATAGAAAAAGTGAATTTAGATATAGCAATAAGAATACCGTTGATTACCTTTTGAGGTATTGTGACCAGGATGATTCAATGGATTGAATACATTCAGGGTTTGCAACTGTTGAAATATCTCCGTATTCATCACATCCTGTAGCAATCTTTCTAAGGAGGCGTCTAACAACTTTTCCAGATCTTGTCTTTGGGATATTCTCAACAATAATAATGTGATCAGGAGTTGCAACAGGACCAATTTGGGTTCTTACACACATTCTAAGTTCAGCTTCAAGAGGATGAGGGCTGGAATTGTTAAATTCAAAGGATTTACTGCCAGAATCTTTAAGAACAACAAAACAAACAAGAGCACTGCCTTTAACATCATGGTCAATTGCTACAGCAGCAGCTTCTGCAATACCATTGTGGGCGGTAATAGCATCTTCAATCTCCTTAGAGCTTAGTCTGTGTCCAGAAACGTTAATTATATCATCAATTCTACCAGTAATCCATAGATATCCATCTTGGTCTCTTAAAACACCATCTCCAGTAAAGTAGTATCCAGGGAAAGGATTTGTGTAAAGATCTTCATGAAGATAGTGAGCACCAAAAATTCCTCTAAACATTCCTGGCCATGAGTTTTTAATGCAAAGTACACCAGAACCAGTTCCTTCAATCTCTTTTCCTGTCTCAGGATTAAGTACCACAGGTTCAATTCCAAAGAAAGGAAATGTTGCTGATCCAGGTTTAGTACTAAAGCAACCAGGGATAGGAGCAATCACAATTCCTCCAGTTTCAGTTTGCCAATAAGTATCAACTACAGAACATCTTTCCTCGCCAACAACCTTATAGTACCATCTCCATGCAGAGGGATTAATAGGTTCTCCAACAGATCCTAGAACTCGTAACGATGATCTATCGTACTTAGTGACAAATTCATCTCCAAGACGTTTAAGAGTCCTGATTGCAGTAGGAGCAGCATAAAAGTGAGTAACCTTGTGTCTCTCCACCATTTCCCAATACCTTCCAGCATCAGGAAAAGTAGGGACTCCTTCAAAAATTAAGGTTGTAATTCCATTACAAAGAGGAGCATAAACCAGGTAAGAATGTCCAGTAATCCATCCAATATCTCCAGCACATCCAAATACATCTCCGGGATGAATATTGAACAAGTACTTTTGAGTAACTGCAGCATAAAGCAGATATCCAGCTGTAGAATGTTGAACACCTTTTGGAGTGCCAGTACTTCCAGAAGTATATAAATAAAATAGTGGGTCTTCACTATCCATATCTTCTAAGGGACAATAAGGCTTTTCAGCTTTCATTAATGTTTCTCCATCAAAGTCTCTTCCTTGTACAAAATTTATAGGTCCATTCAAATGTTTGAAAACAATACATGTTTTAATCTCAGGAACCTTTTGAAGAGCTTCATCTACAATATTCTTCAAATGAATAATTTTCTTACCTCTAGATCCTTGGTCTGCTGTGACTACTATTTTACATTTTGCATTCACAAGTCTCTCAAGAAGATTCTGAGCAGCAAATCCAGCAAAAACTACCATATGAACAGCTCCTATTCTAGCGCAAGCCAACATAGTGTATATAGTTTCAGGTATCATTGGCATATAGATTCCAATAGAATCACCTTTTTTAATACCAAATCGCTTCAGGACATTGGCCATCTTACAGACGTTTCTAAACAACTCAATATAACTAATATGCCTAATAGATGCTGGATCATCCCCTTCCCAAATAAGTGCAATAGTATCTGGTTGTATCTCAGCCCATCTATCCACACAATTATCACAAACATTTAACTTTCCATTCAAAAACCACGCAAGGCGATCTTGAAGACAAGTACCAGAACTTCTGGCTTTAGTAAAGTCTCTAAGCCATCTAAGTTCTTTTCTAGCCATTTCACTCCAAAAACCTTCGGGATCTTTAATGCTATCCTCATAAAGCTTTTTGTATTCTTCAGCTCCATTAACTCTATATGGCTTATCTGCTGGAGTTGGCTTTGGTTCATATATCTCGTAAAATGGTAAATTCTTTGAACGAGTTGCAACGGTATCAACGTTCTCAGTAAATACAGATGGATCATACAATTCACCATTACTGTTCGAATATGGTGATCTAGGAGTATTATCATTCATTTTCTTAGTAATCAACAATATAATATACTAGTAAGGTCAAATCTCAAGAGCAAAAGAAGAATGCCAAATAAAACTCTGAATTCTTTACTCTCCTAACTCCCAAAGAGCAACAATAATAAAGGTTAAGGCCTTTAACAATATAAAATAAAAAATAAAAACACTCTACTGAGACTAAGAAAGATTAGTATCAACCAATCTGACCCCTCTACAAGAATTCGAAGATCCAATAATAGTATCTTGGATCCTTACTTACTCTCGTTCTCCAGACTCTGTAACGTTACTACTGAATTGATAATATTCTAGGTAACTATTTATTTTCAATTTTGATTAGGCCTTATTTCAAATGTACTTATACTTCAGTACTTAATAAATTAAGATTTTTACGTGCATATATTTGCCCCTAATGCATTAATCAAAATTATTTTGAAATTTTTTAAAACTATTAAGTCAAGTTACCAACTCAAAGACAAATTCTTATGCTCGTAATATAATTGGTTCGATCTATTTTATCCCCTTTTTCCCTTCCCACTCCCCCAACGTAAATTTAAAAATATCCCATATTTATTACCAACCTAATATATTCCCCTCCATAATAATCATATCCATATCGCAATGTCTCGCTTTTCCCGCCTAAGTTTGGGCGGTATCATACATTTATTTTTTTAATGATAATAAATTTGTGAGAAAAGATAATTCTTTGAGGAAACAGAGAGAGGTGAAATGTGGTCTGAAAAGACGATAGGGAAGGCATTTAGGTATGTTGTAGAGCATGTATACCTCTCTACAACGTGCCTCCATCTGCTTGTCTTGTTTTATGGTCTTCTTCAAGATAGATTTAATCTATCTGTGAAGTTTACTGACATTGACTACATGGTAAGTAGGGCAGTAGATTTAGAGTGGGATTGATATGTTTTATATTCAAAATGTGTGTGAGTCTTGTAGACTTTAACCCCACTTTATAATCTCTTTTTTTATTGAGTCATAACAATCTTAGGTCTTTACGGATGCAGCCAAGGCAGTTCTCCACGGAAAATCACCATATACAAGACATACATATAGATATACTCCACTATTGGCTTATATTACCTCAATTAACATTATATTTAAGATGGAGATTCTTTCGAAGCTTTTGTTTTGTGCTGTAAACATACTTTCAGGTAAAATCCTCGAATGGTTACTTATCTTGTTGGACGTAGATAATGACACTAAGATTAAGGGAAGTGTTACTCTAAGAAGGTTTCTAATTTCTACATGGTTACTGAATCCATTTCCTGTTGTCATTGCAGCAAGAGGAAGTGCAGATGTTATTCCTTCTATTTTGGTCCTAATTACTATATATTTTCTAATGAAAGCTAAATACGATAGCTTCAACAATAAAGTGAATATTGTCATTTCAGCTTTCTTCTTTGGTCTTTCTGTTCACTTTAAGCTATATCCAGTTATCTATGGTTTCCCTTTTATTTTCTTTATCAACCCAAACTACCTAAAAAAGGACAGGCCACTCTTCAGGTATATACTCAACCTTCCTATTAAGGTATTTACCACACTTAATATAGACCAGCTTATATTTGGATTGGTCAGCTTTTCTACAATCATTTCCTTGATCTCCTTTTTTTATTATATATATGGTTGGGAGTTCCTATATGAAACTTATTTATACCATGCAATCAGAAAAGACCACAGACACAACTTTTCAGTTTTTTTTTACCTATTTTACCTTACAATGTACTCAGCAAAAGAGGCTCTTGCGTCAAACTTTGTTTACAAGATTCTCCCATATATAGCTTCTATCCCCCAGATGTTACTGGTTACATTATCAGGAATATCTCTAGTAAGGGAAGGTGAATGCATAATGGCAATTTTTTGCCAGACCATTCTATTTGTAGCTTTCAACAAAGTTTGCACATCTCAGTACTTCCTATGGTGGTTCATCCTCTTCCCTCTCGCCCTCAGAGTTTACCTGACCAATAATATTGCTCAGCTCGACGAATCTAAAGGGATAATTCATTCTGCTAGTGCTTCCTTCACACCAATCCTCATTTCAATAGGAGTTTGGCTGATTACTAAACTCTCATGGTTATATTTTGCATATCACATTGAAATGCTTGGGCAGCCATACTTTCTGAGTGTAAGTTTTCAGGGTTATTTTTCCTCCATTAATTTGAAACTTTAATTGATTATTGATCTTCAGCTCTTCCACTCAAGTATACTATTCTTACTAGCTAACATTAGCATTGTTTTAGTTTTCTTAAGAAAAAGCAACACATCTCTGAAAATTAAATCCGAGTAAATTACTGGCAGAGAAACATTATAGATTCATCCTATTCAACTTTAGATCGAATTCCGGATTCCTAGTGTTACTCATTCATCCACTATTACAATAATGGCAGCAAATGAATACAGTAGGGATATTTTAAATTAAAAACTTTATAAGTTTCCTTAGAGTTCTCTTTGGGAATTTGACTAATTAATGATAAAGCTTCATAGTCTCTTATTTTACTTAATTAGAAATGATTATCATTTAAACTTTTCCTTTTATTCGAGTATCTGGGTTTGTTCATTTTTTACCTCCATTTAGGCAATTATTACTAGGTATCGAATCAAACATGAATTAAATAAAAATGGGTAAAAGAAGATTAGGACTAAATGGCTACTAATGCAAAAGATCAAATATTTTTCCTAAATAAATCTATTAAAATACAGTTACAGCCTTTGCCAAACCTCTAGGCTTATCAGGGTTTATACCTTTTTTAACAGCCAAATAATATGCTATAAGCTGTAATGGAATTACAGCGTTCAAAGCAGTCAATGGACCATTAGAGGGGATTAAAATCTTTTCACAATCAATATCATTACACAAATTCTCGTCATCTGTTATACATATTACTTTAGCTCCTCTAGCCTTGACCTGTTGTGCAACATTCATCATCAAAGAATGGTGTTCATCAGATAGTATGACGAGAATAACAGGTGTTTGAGAATCTTTATCAATTAAAGCAAAAGGTCCATGTTTTAGAGCTCCAGCTGAATAACCTTCAGAATGTATATAAGATATTTCCTTAATCTTTAAAGCCCCTTCCAAAGCTACAGGATAGCCATACCCTTTCCCCAAAACAAAAATAGAGTTGTTATCCTTGATCAGCTCAGCAATTTTTTCACACTGATCTTTGACTTGTAATGAAACTCCAACACTAATTGGAACTCTGTGAATTGCTTCTAGTAACTCTTGGCATTTTTGTGAAGTAACAGTATCTCTGTTTTGGGCAAACCAAGCAGCAATAAGTGATAATACAAGAACCTGAGTGGAGAAAGCTTTGGTGGAAGCAACTGCAACTTCCCTTCCTGCATTTAAGTAAACCCCACAACCAGTGGCTCTAGCAAGCATTGACCCTACCACATTTACTACTGATATTTTTGGAATCCCAAGACTATCAGCAATATTGATGGCTTTAACAGTATCAGCAGTCTCCCCACTTTGAGAAATAGCTATAGCTCCAGCATTTTCTCGTGGAAAACCAGTAACTAAAATCTCGGAAGCGTCTTTAGCACTAACTGTATTAAACCCACTGACATGTTCCATCAAAAGCTGGGCAAATAAGGATGCGTGAAGGCTTGTACCGCATCCTAATAGAATCATGTTCTGGACCCTTTTTAACTCATCTAGTCTCTGATCCAACCCTCCAAGTTTTACCATATTATTATATGGAGAAATTCTGCCTCCAAAGTTTAATGACCTTGCCAATGCATGAGGTTGGTCATATATTTCTTTCAATGTCCAATGAGGATATGGAGAAGGAGAAGATTCGACCTTTTCGTGGTCAATAGACAAAAGTCTAGAAGGAGTAATTAGTTTGTCAATCCCTTCGTGGGATAATACAGCAATTTCTCCGTCTTGCAAAGCTACATATTGATTTGTATAATTTGCCAAAGCTGACGTTTCTGAAGCAATGTAAATATGTCCTGATTGGACGCCAACAAGCAATGGAGAACCGTGTCTAGAAAGTATCATTGTGTCTTTGAAATCTTTGTGAAGAATTGCAATCCCCCAGGTTCCCTGTAAACGGGAAAGAGATTTTTGGACAGCATTTTGAAAATCTTCTCCATCATCGAGATATTTTCCAATCAAGTTTGCAATAACTTCTGTGTCGGTCTCTGATTGGAACGGAATTCCTTTTTCCATTAGCTCCGACTTTAAAGAACAGTAATTGTCAATTGTGCCGTTGTGTACAATACTAATCCTTTTCTTATAGTCCTGATGAGGATGAGCATTAAAGTCCGTCTTCCCTCCGTGTGTTGCCCATCTAGTATGTGCAATACCAATATGGTGGTTTCCATGAAACAACTCAGCATCATTCTTTAATCTTTCGATTGAGTCTCCACATTCTTTAGATGAGTACTTAGTAGTTATCATTTCTCCATTTTCGTCTATTGTACTCATTCCACATGAATCATACCCTCTATTTTGAAGTATCTCTATTCCTTGCATCAACACTTTTTGGGCATCTCCTGACCCAATATACCCTATAATTCCACAGCAATGAGCCTTGTTGGGAATAGAAAAAATGTTACTCCCTCTTCTTGTTTTACAAAAAGTTCCAATATTTTCAGAAAACACACCAAAAATGTGTTTTCCCCTTAATTCATTTAATTTGCATTCTTCCTTCAAAATCCTTATCAATCTCTCAAATCTATGTAATTTTGATCTCTCCCTTTGTTCCTTCAAACTTGTATTTATACGGTTCATAATTGGCACCAAAAATGTGTATTTGGGCCAAAAATTCATCTCTTCCAAATTCTAAAATTAAAATTTACTTGAAAACTCAAAACCTTATTTCTCTCTTTCCTTTTCTTATTTTTAAGTCTTTTGCAATTTTTCATGCAATAATAATACTTGCATTCAAATTATGCAGAGGCGCCAACTACCCCACGTAATTATTATTTTTGTATACCGGAATTTAGTATAAATTCATCCAAGTTTTGTGTGAGGGGTGTGTTTTGGCGGCAAACCTAAGAAGGTACCGTAATTGTAATTTAACTATAAAAAAGAGATAATGTCGATATATTACAAGAATTAAATACATGAAAATAGTTATGATTAATTGATTAAAAAATTAGCAAAATAAAAAAAAAGTTTTAGCACATTTAGTTATAAACTATACTTTTAAATATTTATTCTAAAGACTATAATGAACATTTTTTAGTGAGCAATGTCATTTTTTGTACTGTGGGGTATTTTGCTGTTTATTGCACTAGCAGAGGGATTCCAAAACAACCTAGTTAACACATCAAAAATTGAGTTTCTTGAAGCAGAGTACGCCTTAGACAGACTTGGATTGTGGAAAAAATTTGCAGATGGTAATTATAGTGACTGTATGGAGTTAACTTTAAGAATTGACAGAATGTTGAATGCTGTTGCAAATGTTGATATTGGTGCAATGGAACAATTTATTGAAATGGATGAATATAGTTTGAAGTTTCAGGATCCCTGTGGCAAAGGTGAAAAACATACTTTGTCAAGCTTATATGAGAATGCACCAGGCTGGGGAGGTGAAACTCCTTTGACTATTTTGGCTCGAAGTTCATTGCCTAGAAGCAGCATAATGATGCAGTTTCTGTCATCTAAAGGTTTGGATTTTGTCAAGTCTCAAATGAATGGTTTTACTCCGCTTATTCTAGCTATTATTCATAAGAATTTTAGTGGAGTTAAGGTACTTTTAAATTTGGCTGAGAGGCAAAAATACACCTTGCATTTGAAAAAAACTGAAATGATTCAGAGCTCGATAAAGGATAAGAATGATAAAAATACTAGTTTTCAAATAAGAAAGATTGAAGTTATTAATGAAGTTGATTCAATGGGAAGAACAGCTCTTTTTCACGCAGTATTGATGGAAGATGATAGAATGGTTGAATCTCTATTGATGGCAGGTGCTGAGCCAAATATTGCAGATTTTTCAGGAGTAACTCCACTTCTTTTGGCATCAAAAAAAAACCTTGTTGTGATTGTCAAGCAATTACTTAGAAGAGGAGCTGACCAGACAATTCTTGATCCAAGATACAGGGACCCACTTTCTGTTGCAATAAAGAACAACCACCCAGATGTTATTCTTGCTTTACTTAAGGACGAAACATTCCAATCAAAGTATTTGAGTGTTTACGAACCTTCAAGATATAAAGGCCAAATCATAAGACCCACCTATCATGTAAAAAGACTTCTGGACATATTTACTGTGCTTCAATTAAAAGAGGATGTTGTTCAATCTTTATTCAGGATTGAGTTTGCTAGAAATGATACAAGTCTATGTGACCTTAGAGACAACGAAGGAAGAACAGTAGTTAACATTGCAACATTTAGAGAGATGTATGATCTTCTTGAAGAGGTTCTGGATTTTTATAACAATGCATCTATTTATAAATATGAAGGCTATACTAGCTGCAATCCTCATGTTATTGATAAATCTGGCAGAGGCCCCATTGATTATCTCTTAACAGGAACAGCTTCTAGCCATAGTTCATTTTTTTCGTTTGATAATAAATCTAGTAATAACAGAAAAATCAACAAATACTCTGGATTATATCAAAACTTTATCCAAGGTAACAATGAAGAAACTAACCAAACAGGAGGAAATTTGTTTAATGAATTTCGTAAAATGGAAACTTCATTCAATGTTCTCTCAGATAGAAGACAGTTCCTTCTAACCAAATTTTTAAAGCTATCAAACCCTCTGGACCTTTCCTCATATTTATTTGAACTTCTAAGAAGAGGTGGGAATCCAACAGTATCCACAATTAAAGCCATGGTAAATTGGTTGGGAGGGTCTAGAGATCTTTTACTACACAAAACCTCCAGAGATGGTCACAATCCCCTTACATTTGCTTTATCTACTGGTCAACTGACTGTTGCTAGGGAAATTCTTGATATCCTTTTGGATTCTCCAAGTTCCAATGAAAACAGTTACAAAAGTGCTGTCAAACTAGCTATTGATTACTCTGCAAGTGTTCATTCATCCTCAATAATTGTTGAAGTAGCACTTAGAAAGCCAGTTATTATTCATGAATGGATCTGTGAAAGAAAATTAAATAGTTTTATTGAGGTTGAAGAACTCAAATTTGTACTACTAAACCTTCCTCGTGAGTTTATTGGCTTTTCAAAACATCCTGACCTTTGTAAACCACTTTATACAATAGTCAAACAGATTCTGGACCCTGAAAGCCAAATAGAATCCACAGAAATTGTCTCAATTATGCTTGATACCAATGGTGGTTTGCCTTTCTTAGAACACTCAGATGTTAATATGGCAATGAAAACTGTTGGAACTAGTTTAAGTATTTCAGCCTCATTTGGACTCAAAATTCTTCCATGCTTAGAGTGGACATCCACTATGTCTTATACATTTGCTCCTTACTTTTTTGGTGTTTTCAATAAGTTTGAAACTTCATTGGACAAATCTGACCAAAATATTCAAGTAAAAAGTGATGCTGAAAACATCCTTCAATATGTTGGAAAAAACTCATCTGAGTTGGAATCTCTAGAAAAGAATTTTTCAAACAAAAGTTTGAACTCTTCCAAAGAATCTACTGGATCACAGGGACTGTTATATTCTGCTTTAGTAGAAAATCAAACTTTAAAATCCACTGAGTTATTGAAAAAAAATCAATACTCGAATACTGTAAGTACTGTTTCACCAAAAATTAAGAATTTGAAGAACCCTGGGAAAATTATAGTCAAATATGGTCTTGGATCCACAATTAGTTCTATCTTAACTGGGCATGGCATTATCGGTACCAAAAGAAATCAGATCTTGGATCTTGTGTTCTCTTGTCCATTAAGGAAAGTGGATCCAACCTTAAAGAAATTTCAAAGAAGTGTTTTAGCAATTACATTATTAATTTTAATTATTTGGATTCTAATCACATCATTTGTGATAGTATTCTCATCTAGAAACAGACTAGACATATTTGGTTTTGTTCCAAAACATTCAACTTCGGAACCTGAACGGTTGGCTTTTACAATGGTTGAATGGAAGGTGTATAAACTTGCAAGTGTATTACGTTTCATTTCTTTTCTCTACTGTATTGTTATCTTTATCTCTATTGGAAGGGTGAGACATTTATTATTTACCTTATTTTTCCTTATTTTGGGCCTATTTTTAAAGTTCAATCAGTTTCTACTACTCAAGGAAAGTGATATTGCAGACATTACAACAGCTTTTATTAGGGAGGAAATGATTGATAAAGATAACACAGCATTAAACAAAGATCTAGAAGACAATGATGATGCTAATGACAACTCTTTGGGAATGGTTAATCCAATGCCAGTTGGAGGAAATGAAGAAACTAGACAAGAGGGGATGCACCTTGGGACAATAGGAGAGGAATTTTCAGCTAGCCATTCAAGTGCTACCTTTACAGATTCGAGAAATACTTTTCAGAGCGATATAGTCAAAAGGGAACATATTTCAGCTGAACAGTATGCTTTGGCAACTCTATTTATAGGGATTTGTTCTTTTGTTATTGCAATTTCCTCAAACTTACAACGTTTTCTCTTTTGGAATTTTCGGGAATTTTATCGTTTTCATGAATCCTATTATTTTGTTGTTAACCATACTTACATTGCAATTTCAACAGAAATTATTCTTATCTTAAACACATGGTCATTAACATTTGCTATTCTCAAAGCTCCAGGACTGATGATTTTTATCCTAATGCAACGAATACAAGTTCTTCGATACTTTTTGCTTGCTTATCCTGACATTAACCAGAATATATTCAACTCCTTAAAAAGAAATCAACTTGGACTTATTGGCAAAGAAAATTCTCCTAAATCCTCTCCAAATATAAATTTACATTCACCTATTTCAAAAGGAGCAGTTTTTATCCCTCCTGGAAGGTTCGATATAGTACTTTGTCAATGGGTACGTGTTAGGTATGCAATCATGAAAAGAATGCATAGGAGATTCGCTGTTGCATGTAAACCTTATAACGCTCTTTATTTTGGCATTGGATTTATCTTTTTGGTTTTTCTACTAAACAGGAAAAATATTGGAAATGGTTCTAATGTTGACATAATGAATTACCTTTTATTCGATGAATTTGGGTTTACTCTTCTCACAGCATTTGGTTCTTATTCTATTACTCTTATAGTAATTGTCTGGCTCGGATGCACGTCTAACCAGATTTCAGAATCTCAACATTGGAGGCTTTTTTGGGATGCTTTTTCATTTATGCCTCCTTGTTCTGCTCAGCAGGTTGTCCTACAGCATATTAAACTTACACAGGACCTGGATAGTGAGGATAAGAGAGTCGACTTGCTGAGTATTCCTATTACAAATTTTGCAAGAAATATACTGCTTTTATTTATTCTAGTAGTGTGGATACGTATATCCATAATTGGAATATCTTATATTTTATTATGAACTATTTAATAGTAAAAGTCTTGATAATCAATTAAGTAAATCTAGTGTAGAGAAACAAATGTCTATACGTAACTAAATTTTCTGTTAATTCTAGGAATCATTTAGTTTCAATAATTAAAGTGGTTTAATACAATATAGAGGTTTTAGAACATTTAAACAAATTAAAAATACATCATTATCATCTACTCTTAATATAATTTAGCTGAATAAAATGATTATTAATTCCTTTTAGATAAAAAGTTAAATATGTCGGCAAGCATTTGGGTAGTGATTGTGTGGACAACTCCTGGATAGGATTTGTAAATGAATTTTTTAGGCTTAATATATTTGAGTACAAAATCATTACTCATTAAAGACCATTGGTGTAGTACCACAGGATCAGCTTCTCCATGTAAGACAATAAAGTCCACATGCTCTTTCACAGATTCTCTGACATCGAAAGTGAGTTCCTCTGTTGCTATTTTGCTTTCCTTACCTTCTTTAAATCCTCTTTCAGTAAGTGGAAGCCAGCCTCCTACTACAATACAGGAACCCAGTGTGTACTTTCTGGATGCCATAGAGATTAGGAAAACTATCGCAGACCCTTGAGAAAATCCTCCTAGAGAAATCTTTTTAGGATTGATTCCCTTTTCTATTTCACGAGAAATCAATCCACTTATTCTGGAAACACTATTATTAATATCATCTAAATCTTCGAGTGCATTTGGCTTCAAATCCTCCATATCAAACCATGCACAATCAGAAAAACCAAATCGCTTAAAATGAATTACATTTGCTGTTGGAAGAATAATCTTAGTCTTCTTTAGTTCAGGATAGTTTTGAGCAATTTGAATAAAACTCAAATAACTATTAGCATTGTCTCCCTTTCCATGGAGCCAAATTAAAACTGAATCATAGTTTTCAGGTTCATAATGAAACCCTTGCCCATTATTTCCGTCTCCTTCTCGAATCATTTTCTGACTTCGAATAAATGAAAGATCGTACTTATACACCGATAAATTTTATAAAATTCAAATGAATCAAATAAAGCAAGAAAACGAATTATTTCAATTATTTCACTGATTGACTTCAACCACTTGCATTAAACAAAAAAGTTAGGTCAGAAATATGGCGCCAAAAGTGGGGTTTAATTGTACTTTAGTAGGCAGTAAGAGGTAACCAGACGAAATAGAGTTATATATATTTGGTTAAGCTTTCTTCAATTGGCTGACTAGTATGGAGTCACCTGATGATAGTTTTGAATGGAAAAGAAAGGGGAAAAGACTTTTAAAACCATTTGAGTCAGAAGAGGAATTGGAAGAAAAGCTGGCTCAACCCAGTGAAGAAGAAACTAAAAGCTACTTTGAAACAAAAAAGAGATTAAATGAAAGCAAACCTGGGATATCTCATGAGGGGATTGATAAGATTTCTCGGAGAAAGGAAAAAAAAAGAGTTGGGACTGGAGTTCTTGGTACTTTGGTAGACTCAATTAGGCAAAAAGATACTCAAATATTTGATAATTTAGAAGCAGAAAGTCTTTCAGAAGAAGATAAAACATTCAAGGTTTCTAAAACAAAGAATCTGACTAAAAAAAGAAAGAAAAAAAGTACAGAATCTATTGATATTTCCAATTTATTATGCAGTTTGGACAATACTACTTCAAAGGAAAATCATAAGACAAATAAGTCTAATGGTGATTTAGATAGTATGTTTGAATCGTTCAACATACCTAGCTCTGATACCGAAAGTAATTCTGATTTTCAAACGGATCGTTTAGAGAAAATTAATTTAAACAACAATGAAAGAGACAGAAAAACAACTCAAGATATTCAAAGCAATACGAGCGAAGAAGATGAAGAGTTATTTAATTTAACAGAAATAGAGAAAGCACTGAAAAAATGTGTTAAGGATGATTATAATCCTTCTTTGAAGCTTAATGAATGGCTACCCACTCATTGTATTGATGTAAGATCAGAAATTGCACGTCAGATGGATGATGATGTGGAAGTCAAGGAGATTACTGAAAGACACGAATTTTTCTATTCTCAATGGATAGAACAGATTTCTTATTTATCTTCTTTGACAAAAGGATTTACGAGAAGTATTCAAGATTGCTTTGTTAGAGAAGGACAAATTTTAGCTATTTCTAGTATTAAGGAAAATAATCCTGAACTTTTGTTGGATCCAGATGACAAAATTTTGATAACAGTACAAAACTCAGATGGATGTGTAGTTTTAAACAGACTAGTTAACATAGCAAATTCTCAGGAAAAGTTACTGAATGACATGAACAAAGAAACTGGAATATCTACTATTACAGAAGATGATTCCACTCTTAGATTAAAATATGGAATAATTTCTTTAAAAGCTAGGACTAAACTTTGGTGGTTTTGCAGAATGGCTGAACACTGTGGATTGGTTGGAAGAGAAGGGAATAATATGATTAAGTATCATGTTCTAGAAAAACCTAGGAAAAAAATGTCAAATTCAATCTTTTCTATAAATGCTAATATAGTTTCTTCTATTGACCCTAATATGGATTTATTCAATAAAAATGACTTAGATAGCAATAAGGAGGACTATGATGATTTAACTGATGACGAATATGGTGATAAGAATAGTGATACGGTAAGAATGAATGAAATGGATTCAAAATGGTCATATATTTCTTCTATCAAAGTTTCAGAAAAGACTAGGCCTTGGGAAAAGAGACTTAAGAAATCTGAATTAGAGTTTTCAGAAGCCAAATCTCCAAAGGACGAAGAAAGTACTGGTAATCGTTCCAAAAAAGAATTGTTCAAGTTTATGTTGAAGAATATTGGACCAAGGCCTATTTGGACGAGTATAATTGGAGATGTTGATAAATTTGGAAGATTTCCTTTAGAAATAGAGCCTCCAGTGAATTTATCTCTTCGGGAACAGGGGCAGTTAAAGATTAAATGGTTGCAAATGAAAAGCCAAGCTGAGAAACTGGCAACACACCACTTTAAAATAATGGATCCAGAAACTAAAGATCTGGATCATGATATTATAAAGTATTGGAGCAAACTTTTCAAAGTTAATTTACTATTTCCTCTTGATGAAACTCATAAAATAAGGAAAGTTGACAAGAGTGATACCAATAATTCAAACTTATCTATAGACAGTAGTCATGTGGTTAAAGAAGTGATTATAGAGGAGGATAATAATAAAGACAATGGTAATGACCAGAAACCAAATACTTTTAGCTTTTTTGAAGATGCAAATACAACCAAAAGAAACTCCTTACCTTTAGATGTGGAGTTTGTAAGTGATTTAAGTGAGTCAGACCCAGAAATCATACAGGAAAATGATGAAGGATGTGAATCAGAAGAAGGAATCGTTGATATTAATGAAGGTAATAAGAATAATGATTTACGGGCTGAGAGTAAATTACTTGATGATACAAATGAATATTATTCAGCTGAGGAAGTTTTAGAATATGGGCTAGAAAAAAAGCCAGAGTCTGATAAAGAGGAAAATATTCAAGAAAATGAAGGAGTTTACGATTCAGATGATGAGGCAAAGTTAGAAATTAAAAGAAAAGCATATAGAAAACTTAAAGCAATAAGGAGGAATAGAAGAAAGTTCAAGAAAAAAATGATGGAGAAATATGGACACTTATTTGAGGATGAGGCAGAGGAAAGTGATGATGACGGTATCCGAATATTAAAGAGAGGTATTAGTGGAGATGATAGTGATGTTGATGATAATGATGATGACATGGACTGGGATGAGCTAAGTGGCTTTTCTGACTTTATTGATGACAACAACTATGAAGATGGAGAACTGGACGGAGATGCAATACAAGCTCATTTAAAGCATATGAAACAAATAGAGGAAAAACAATATAGACAACTTTTCACACTGGAAGGTATTAAGGAAAGAAAGAATAAAGTATATGGGTTTGCCACTAACTTGGATGATGGAATTGAAGGCGAAACTAGATTGGAGAAGAAAAAGAATGAAATGCTCTTTAACTCAGCCTTCTTTGATGATGATGTTATTAGTGAATTTTGGACAGATGAAGAAGAGCTAGATGATTATGAAGAAGAAATTGATGAGAGAGATCTAACAGAGATGGTTGGATTGAACTATGAAGAATGGCAGAACAGTTTACCAAGCAAATTAAATTCTTCAGATGAATCGTTGAATGAAAAAAGAAAATTCAAATATAACATTTTAAAGGAGTCTCTGATTAAAGAAGCTTCTAATAGCATTAATCTTCTCAAACAAAGGTTCAAATCAATTCAAACTAAGTTAAGTGAGGATGTTGATATAAATCCAGAAGAAAAGAGAGAATTACAAACTAAGTATATGGAATGTATTGAAAAGTTGAAAAAACTTTTAAATTCCATTCATTTTGCTTGCAATAAATGCATCTATGAAAATCACCAATTCTTTGATCACATTGACATATATGAGTACATTCAAAAACGCCAGGAAGTCAGAAAACAAAACAAATCTAGGGTTAAGAACGCCGATGAATCTAAAGTCAAATTTAAAGGCAAGTACCAAAATAAGTACCTTAGAGAAAATATTAATCCATTAAATAAAATAGTTAATCATATTTCTGACTCAGAAGATGAGATAATTGACCACAAAAAAGTGCGAAAAAGCGGAAAAAATATAGTAAATATTAAGGGAGGGAGGTTTATGATCTCTAAGAAGTAAAATCTATAAGGAAAGTTACTCCACTACTTAATATTATTTAACGCTTTAATTAGCTTATTTTTTTAATTCAAACCAGATCATTAAAATAGCTAAATTTACTGCTTCAACTTCCATATTTAGACTTTTTTGATCGCCTTCCACTATATTAAGATTTTTTTCTATTTCAGTTTTGGCGGTAACCATTATCCACATACATGCATTAATATTATTAATACGATCAAAATAGGGGAATAAAGAAAATTTATATGATGAGTGCTAGTAAAATATGACTAGATGTTTGGTGGACGAAGAAAAACGAATGGAGGAGCTCCTGCTCCATTGTTATCGAACACAGAACAATCAACATGCCAAATAGCAAGTATGTTAATAATAAATAGAAGAAATAAGGAATTGACTAATTATTAATAGGTTTGGTTTACGTAGTTACGTCGATAATATCACTTATTTGTTTGATAATTCCAGCCTTTTTTGTAAGTTGATTACATATTCAACTAACTATTTATATTAAATTAATTTAGAAAACTACATGTAGTGACCACCATACTATATGGTTTGTACAAGTAAGTACAAGAAAAATATTTAAAAGCTATTCAAGTATTTTGATATTAACTTTTTTATTTTTTATAGATTGTTTTGGGTTTAGACTTTATTTTCATTTTTGTATTCATGTATTTGGGTTTGATGCCGAATGGGACAGAAAACGAGTTTAGCAAGTATATTGGGACAGGAGTTGTTATATTGGCAATTCAATGTATAATTTTGGCATTTGGGATTTTTGTTTTTGTTTCACTAATTTTTTATTTATTAAGCGAAGATGATGAATGTAAAAGTGAGAGCATTCTTAATATTACTTTAACTTCTATCAATTTATTACATTCTACTATCACAACTTTTACATCAGTAAAGTTACTATTGAAACTATTCACATCCATAGCATCTCAGTACAAGAAATACGGTAAGATAGTTTAGTATAGGATATTAGAGGACAAATTAGGTGTAACTAACCTTTTCTAATAAAAATTGAGGAAGAATCAGAGTAAAACCCCCTTAGAATCTAGAATGCGTAAAAGATTTAAGTTGAATTGATCCTTTTATTAAAACTTTTCCATTTGTTTTCTTGAGTGTTCTTAAATTGAGAATACTCTTTTCCTAGTCTATTTTTTGCTTGTCTTTTATCCTCATTGATCTTCTTTTTATATAATCTAAAATGTTCCTTTGAAAGCCCTTTTCTATCAACCATAAAGAACTTCTTCCTTACTGGATATCCTGCCTTTTGCATCATGTCATGTAGAGCAAATGCAAGCTTCTTATGCCTTGAAACAAACTTTTGGAACGTGGCCATCCTAGAAGTAAAACTGGACAGTTCATTTTCCAAAATACTTGTGATAGATCTAATCTTTTGATCATAATCATTTAGAGAGAGGTATTTCATAAGGCCATACTTAATAGTTTTGCTTCCAACTAAATTCCTAATTTTATTGTATTCTTTGAGAACAAAATCGACCTGGGAGACAAATCTCTCGAGTTCCTCGTTGTTGTATTCTCTACTATATTTGCTTGGAAGAAGTTGTAATGCAATTCTAATGTTCAACGCAAGTAACACGGTCTTCTTGGCTGAATCAACCTTAAAACGTAAAAGTTTAATAGATTTAATGTATTTTTGAACGAACAAAAGCGCTCTTCTCTTGATAGCTGTTTGGTGGAACCTAAAAATATCGGAAACTTCCTTAATTGTTATTTCTCTCGCCTTCTTCATAATATTTAACAACTCAATAGTTTTTGCTTCAATCTTAGAAATACGTTTAAGTACTCTATCTGTTTGAATGAAATATCTCTGGTATGGGCATGGAGCAGCACATCCAACAGAAACTTGGAACATATCAACAAGAGGAAGAAGGATACCTCTGAGTTGATTGGCATAATCTTCATTTTTGAAAGTTTCGGAATGCAAAAGTGGAGAGTTATCAAGTTGTGGGCTATTTTGTGACCTCTCCATAAATTGCTCTTGAGAGAACTCTTCAGCTATTCCAGATTGCTCTTTAGATTCAATAAGACCTCTATTAAATGAATTTTCGTCTTCATCTTGTTCAGGAATAATCTCAGGATCAGCAGCACTCTGATAAGAATTTTCATCAGCTTCGTTTACAGCCTGAACAGAATTTTCACCAGCGTTTTCAGTTTCTGAATAAGATTCACTACTAATGACAGGACTTTCTATTTTTGAAGATTTTGAGGTTTCATTATCTTCAGGAACTGAAGATGCTTCTTTTTCTTCTTCAACATGATCAGGAGTGCTAACAGACGATGGGATACTGATAACTTCTGGTTCATCTAAAACTTTCTCTTCAACAGTTCTTGATTGTTCATCTGCATGACTAACTTGAGGATCTACAGAAATTGTTTTTTCAGAAGGTTCTAAAACGCTATTTTCTTTTTCAGTCATGGATTTCTCACTGACAGTTCCCATTTCATCCTCAGAAATCTTACTAGATGCTGTTTTTTCTGAAATAGGAATATCAAGTGGATTTGATTCATCAACTTCTTCATTGGATTTCTCCGTTAAGGTGTTATCTACTTCCTCTGAATCAACATTTTCTAATTCTTTGTTTGTTTTATCAAAGCTACTTAGAGATGGCGAGCGAGAAGTTTCTTTTTTTGAAGTTTCGGTATTTAATGAAAGTGGTGTAGAAGCTGAACCATCTATTTCCAGTTCTTTTGGTGAGCTCAATTCTTTTGGGAAAAATGTAAAATCATCATCTTCTGATTGAATTTCTTCAGATGATATTAATTGATCATTTTCTTTACCTTTAGATTTATCGTATTCCATTAAAACTGGAGATTCACTTCTTTCAAATTCATATTCACTACCAAGATTTTCAGAAGCTTTATCTTTCTTTTCTTTAGCACTTTCTTGGATTTTTCTCTGTTTCCTCAAGAGCAATAATGCATCATCAACAGTGTAATTTGGATCTTCCAAAAGCATTACCGACTCTTCTTGATTCTTTGGGCTGTATTCTGATTGATATTTTTCATCTTGCTCACTCAGCAATTTTTCATAGTTGGATCTTGATACTGACTTCTCAACTAGCGGAGAATTAGATTCTTCAGATTTTGATAACATTGAATCTTCATTAACTTTAGGATAAAGAGAACTTGAGCTATCCCCGCTATTTTCATCAAAATTCTCAGAAAAAAGTCGAGATTTTTCTTCTGAAAGAGATGAATCATCTTTCTGGTTAGCAAAGGAAGGCACATTGCGGGAACTTGCACTCTTTGATGGTTCCATTAAAGATGAATCAGGTGACTTTTCACTAATTGGGGGAATAGTTTCTTCTTTCTCAGCATCATTATTAGTAGATGCTTCTAGATTGAATAAAGGCGAACTACTTGTTTCACCACTATCAGTTTTTTCAACTGAAACATTATATTTGCTCTTTGATAATGAACCTTCGGATAGTAATGAACCTTCTGATAGTAATGAACTTTCCGAAAGAACACCCAAAATTATGAGTAGAAACCCCAAAATAAATATTTGAAGCTTTCCTGAGATCATTTTAACTCAAAAAGCTTTACAAATTTTCTTGAACTGAAACATAAAAAGAAATAAACATCAGTAGACTTATAATTTATTTGTAGATCTAGATTTATGTTTGCGCGGGCTTTCCATGCAACAAATTATTATATAATATTTGAATGGTAATAAAAAAAAAAAGTAGAATAAATGAGTAAATTTCAGTATAATCTAAATTTTTTCAACTAAAGGAGCCGAATTTTTATCTTTAGATTCCCATTTTACGTCCCCACAGCTCGAAGTTTTCGAGATTAACCCATGTTTATCAAGCAAAACCTTAATTGCATGAGTAGCATGTTTCCTGTCTATACTCAATTGCTCTTTCAAAAGTTTTCTACTAAATTTTTCGGTAAATATAGGTACTTGGTTGGAAATATAACCCTTTATAGCTAGATATCTATTTACATCGTCTCTTGTTCCGCCATGGATCGAAAGGTAATCTTTAGTGGAAACCTTGATACCGAACATTTCAAGGATCTGATGAACTGCTCTTTTTAGACTACCATTTCTAGCAATAAAGTTTGAGAATTTTTCATTTCTTCTATAAAAGTCATTCCTCATAGTTCCCAAACATTCATTTACTGGGAGACCACCACAGAAGAGCTGTATATGGTGGCCAAATGAGTAATTAAATTGTTCAAGATTGAAATAAAATTGATCTGATAAATCCTTAATATGCTTGTAAGAAAGAGTTGTAGTAAAACTCTTCCTCAATAATTCCTTTATCTCTTCTAAATTCTTCCTCAAATTACCAAAAGAGTTCATACTCGCTATTAAACTACTTGAATAATTTAGAATTGCCTGATAAACATAAAATTCCTCTCTGGAGTAAAAATAAGATAACTTTTTGCTTTTTGAGACATAGAACGCTTTCATCTTCCCACCTGTAAATATCAGTGCTTCTCCTGCAATTGCTGTCCAAAGCTCCACTGTATTCAAAAATTCATAATAAGAATTCATAGTTGTTTCTAAATCACTAGTTGGCATTTTGAATTCGCTAGATATTCTCTTATAAGTTTCTGTTGCATTAATTGCCAGCTTTTCAAGAGCTTTTTCTATGAATTCTGGGTCAATATATTCATCCGGAATTCTTCTGTCTTGATTATCTGCTTTTTCAATGCCATTAGCATCATTTTCTTTTAAAGCCAACTGAGAAATGTCTGCTTCAGAAAAATCATCCTCAATCCCATTCTTAGTTAGGTTCTTTAACGAACTCCAATCAAATAATTTTTGTGTGGCAGGTTTTTGATTTTTATTTAGATCCAAGTCTGAAAATTTTATTGGAATATGTTTTGTATTAGTAGCATTGGCAATTACTGGTGGTGTTGTAGAGGCTTCTTCAGATAGTTCATCACTAAATTCTTGAGAATTCTCACTAAATTGACTTTTTCTGTCCTTAGCAAATCCTAAGTCATAACTGGTAGTTTTGTTTACAAGAATGTTGGGCCGAGCACTACTTGGCATCATTCCAAGGTTTTTTCTGATCAATTTGTCAGCCATATCAAAATCTGAAGTTTCCTCTTCATCATCTCTTTTTTCTTTGCGATTGCCAGCTGATAACTTAAGGTGACTCCTAATTAATAAATCAGCCTCATCTAATTCTTTGGGTGTAGGACTTTTTTCTTCCTTAAAAGTAACTTGCTGGGGAGTTATAAAAGCTTTACTAATCTCAAATCCACTAATGGATTTCTCTTCATCATTTTCAGTCATAGCCCCATAAACCTTATTTTGCCCAAAATAAATAGAACCAAAATATGCTGAGATACATTCTTCGACCTCAGTTGAGGAGATTGGCATACTAAGGATTGATGAACATTGCACGGAAGTAAGTGTTTCTAATCCCTTAAGAGCTGCTTTAATTAGGACATCTTGAAATCCTGAAGTAGTTCTTGTTGCAATAAGGTTTCTTTGTATCCAAATATACCCACCTTCATTCTCGTCGTGAGATCTGATAGCAGAATTGAAATCGACTTCAATATAAGTTGATTCTTTCGTTGAATTGGAAGTCAAAATAGAGTCTTTAGTGTTGTAAGGAAGCTCATCAAATGATCCCTGGTGAAAAATAGGAATACTCTTCAGAACACCATCAATATTTTCTGCCTTCCATTTCTTAATAACTCTATCTCCAAAAACAATTGCCTTTGATCTGGTATTTAATTTGAGGTTTATAGCAGGGATTCCAAAGGCAACATTTTTTTCTGAAATCTTGTTACTCTTTACAGCGTTGAGCAAGTCAGTAAATACCGAACTAACATCTTGTAAGAGAGCTTTTTGAGATTTTCCTTTTTTACCAAGAGGATATTTTGCATTAAGTATTTTCGTTTCTTTTGATTGATTTGAATTTCTACTATCTACTTTATTATTATTCAAGTTTTGATTCCTATAATCCAAATATTGGTTGTACTCATCTTCACTAGCAAACTCATACTCTTCATCATATTCTTCTTCAAAATCTTCATCTTCTTCTGAGTCTTCGTTTTCGAAATTTGCTTCAATTTTGTTTGCAATTTCTTCTTGCTCTTTATAATTTCTAGCGTCTTCTTCCAACTCTGTATTACCTTCTGAATACTCATGAAAAGGAACGAGGATCTCAAGTGGTTTATGATCAGGTGGTGGACCAATTGTTCCTTTAGAGCTATATTCTGGTTTTTGATCTTCTGAATCAGACTTTGGCAATTGCTTGTTCTCAATTTGAAGTTCTGGCTCTTCAATGCTATTAGGCCCAAATGTTGGAGATGAGACCTGATATTGAACCTCAGTTTGTGGTTCAGTGAAGTTTCCAATATTAATCTCTTCGTCTTGATCAAGTTTTTTTGAAATATCAATATCCCCAATATCTTCATGTAATTTATGATTATTTTCTAAATTTGAAAATGTTTCATTCTTCAAAGCCTCATAATCCTCAGTAGATGCTGAAGGTTCATAATTAAGATTTAAAGCATATTTTTTACTCTTATTAATCTGGGAGACCCTAATATCGGAAATATTTGGCATTTTCAAAGACAATTGTGGGTAAGCATTTGCACCTGCTGCAACTAATAAAGTTTCAGGGAGTTCATTAGAAACTTCTGGAACAAAAATAGGTTGTTGTAAAGACGATTGTTTTTGTTCCTCTTCTGGGAAGGGAGGAGTTTTCGAGTAATCACTTTCAAAGGACTTTTCGTCTTTAATATCATCAAACTCTGACTCACTTAAAATTAACGATGGCTTCTGATTTTTTGCTAATTTATTCTCAATACTTAAAGATTTCTCATCGAGCCTCGAATGCTCCAAAGAAGATTTAATGGGAGGCATTCCATAAACAATTTTCTGAGTTGGTGTTTTTTCTTTCTCTTGAGCTACAGTTGGGGAATTTTTCTTCTCACTGAGAGCAATCTTTCTTTTAACTGTAGAGTCTGGGACCCCATGCATTTTCAGAGCAGCATTGATAACTTTATCAGAAAAAGGGTTAAAATTGTAACCATATTTACGATTAACTTTCTCAATAAATTTTATCAATATTGGTGAGTCCAACATATCTGGCCCACATAGAAATACTGAAAATCTGACATCATTAATAATTCTTAATGGCCTAGGGTATTTATTCATTTTCCCCATTATATCAATCCAAACACTATCTTTTGGAGGTATTACTTTTGAAATCTCACATCTCAATCTTGATGGAGACGTCAAAATGACTTTTCTAACAATTTCCAATTTAAATTCTTCATGGGTATATGGTGCTCCATTTTTTTTAACTGGCCAAGGAGCTTCAATTGCTTTAATTAACAAATCAGCATATAAATATGCTCCTTGAGTAATAAATGGCGTTGAAGTTACATAATACTGGTTACCCTTCCTCCCACATAAAATTAAATCAAGCTGGTCTATTGCATTAACATTGTTTTTCAACAAAATAAGTAATGCAGAAAAAACAAAAACAGCAAACTTGCTGAATTTAAAAAGGATACAAATCATTAATTCCTTTCAATAGAAACATTTACAGGCTAATTTTGTTTTTTCCGTGGTTTTTTTTTTCTTCCTATTTCTTAAACTAAAATTTTTGCTCACATTTAGATCTACATAGGCGCCTTGGCGGTAATTAAGAGATCAACATTATTTAAACATTTTTTTTGAATAGATAAGAAACCGATAATTTATGCTTAGAATATCGTTTTTTTTTCTCAAATTTGTACCTTTTAAGTCTATTTTTTTATGATTTAGCTATCTTGGATTTTTTCTTTTACTTTTTTTTAAATTAATAGAGGAGAAACATACTTCTTTTTACTATTAGAATAAGTCATGACTAACTATTTGCAGAAATTCTAATTAAATCGTTTAAAAACCTAGTTAGACATTTATTTCTTTTTAACTCGGATTTTGTTTACTCATTAGTTTTAATTTTGAAATTATACTGATCGTTATAGGTCATTGTTTTTTGGTTAAGGAAGTTAATGTTTTTGAAAAAAATGTCTCTTTTTTATTAAACTCGGGTTAAAAAAATATATTTCTATAAATTTGTTATTTCATAAAAAATGAATATAAATGGCAATCTTTAAAGGTTATTTTAATTTTGTGTGTGCACACATCTTATAAACAATAAATAGGTGCAACCTATGTAGTTATAGAAACTGTAATAAACTGGCAAAAAAAAGACTATTTAGATACTATTACCAAAACCAGCAAAAAGCTACTATATTTTTTAAGTCAATCACATCAGTTCTAGTGTAATGTAGGATAGGCATTAAGTCGAGAATTACTAAGTAAAATGTTTTCATGTTTTAGGTCATGCAGCGAATCACCCTTTTGTCTTCTCTTTGGGTTTAAAGAAGAAAAATCAAACAATTATGGGGCAGATAGATCACAGAGAGCACTGAGTTCCAAGATGTCAGAAGCCTCAGAGAAAAATAAGAAAAAGCAGAAGCAATTGTTCAATAGGAGAACAGCTGATGAAATTCTAACTGTTTGTAGGTCTTGGGAGAACTATATACATCCTAGGGCAAAGGATTTCTGGAAGTCATCTGAACAAGTCTACGAAATACTATCTAATATAGCAAGTAACATTGATCGCGCAGATGATCCAATTACAAGTGGAGAAGAACAATGTGTAAGGTGGCATGGTGAATTGGAGGCTGAAGATGGCGCGCCAGTCATCAGGATACTTAAACCGGGAGAGACTGACGAGTGTCAAACTTATGTAAATAGAATATTAGCATTTTTATATGCAGACGACGAAAGCTTCCTAGAGTTACAAAAGAAACCACCTGTTGCATTTAAAAATGTATGCGAAGACCCCATTTGCATTAATTTGACGCATATTTCTTTAGAAGAATAAAATTATCATTTTAATTGCATTAAATTATTAAATATAAGACTGTTGGCGCCTAAACGTAGACAGTATAAAGAAAGATTTGTTACTATCTTATACATATAGAAAGAAAATATATTTCTTCGTTACCATTATAATAGTTAAAATAGTAATAAATAAACACAGATAGGTAGGAGATATATTTAATAAATTAATTATTATTATTATATTAGCAAAATTAGTAATTTTTGAAAATAAGCCCTGTCTTAATTATACGTTTATAGCCGGTAATCAAAAAAAACAGTAAGTCCTCGTCGCAGAAACTATAACGAAATAATATAATTTTGTTTAAGATTAATTAGTCGATTATGAAGTTATCCAAATATTCCAGATTTTTTCTGGGCTCATTGCTAGGTGCGTTCGCATCTACTGCCTCTGTACTTGGGTACCCAACTTTCATTTCTGAATGGGCTGGGGAGATCAGAAATATTGCCACAACAAGAAATCTTGGAATTGAAGCTTCCCAACAGCTCGAAGAGTTACTTAGCACCGAAGTTGATCTTGATAACTTTGATGTTTCGTGCTCTATTTTGTTACAGAAAGTCATTAGAGAGCCATCATCGAGCAGAGAGTCATCATTTTTAAATTTAGAGTCTGCATTGGATATTTGTGCCTTAATTAACCCATGGAATTCCATGGAATGTTCTGGCGTTGTTGGAGTTACTGCTTCATATGCCAGATCTATTCAAGAGTTCGTTCGCTTAAAGGATGGCAACAAGGGTGATTTGAGAGCTGCTTGTATTATTGCGTCAGCAATTGCACCTGGAAGACCATTTGCTCCTTTGACCAAGGGTTCTATTAAGTCAAAGTGCGAGGAAGTATGCTCAGGAGTCCTTTCTAAGACCATCTTTGCAATTGACTCATCATACTGCAGTTTGTCTGTTGATCTCTGCAATTCTGTAGATTTTACTTTGTACAACAGTTTCAGCTCCTTTACCGAAAGAGAACTCGGTATTGCAGTTGCAGTGTCAGTCCTATTATCCGAAGGTAGCTTGGGAGTGAGAACAACTTTCCGTGAGGGATGCAGATTTGTACTTTTCTTAAAGCAGAAGGGTGCATTCCCATCCGTACCATCAGATATCTCTGAACCTGAGATTCTCTCGAATATCTCTGAGTATTATAGGGCTAAACTCAGTGAGTCTGGATTGATATCCGTAACAAATGGGGACATCCAAACTTCACACACAGTATTCTTAAAGGTCCTGATTTCTCAAATTGCAAAGGCTATGAGAACAATACTTGAGGCTCAGGTTCCCAAGAAGCAATCCGTTGTCAAACAGAAGAAACCAGTTGTTGTCAGTACTCGTATTACATCTTCTGAAGTTTCCCCGTTATCTGAAGCTTACGAAGAGTCGTTCTCTTCAGAAATCGTGATGTCATCTAAGCCAGATGTTGCAGAAAAGCATACTCTTGGATCTCCAGTCTTGCAATCCTGGTTTGAAACTCTCAAACAATCAATCAAAAAGGGTTCTAAGGATATCGATCGTGAATTTGACGATTCTTTAAATAAAGCAATTTTGAATATTGACTCATCTTCAGTATACTTTACATGTGTCTCTGAATTACGAAAACTTGGTTTGGGCTCACACAGAAGAATAACTGAGGCATGCCGCAAGATTGATCCATTCTCTAATGTCAAGTGCCAGAAGCTCAATCACTTTGAGCTTATGTCTATGATAAAATTGAGAGAAGAGCTTGAAAAGTATGGTAAGAATTTAGTAGTAGATCTCAGAGATTTATGTGTACTTGCTCCTAAGATGTCATTGGAATCTTTCCTTAGAAACAGAAATGAAGAACTCTCTGATATGTGCATTCGAGCACTTAAGAAGAGTTTCAAGAATAAATATTCAGTTTCAGACAGAGCAATCAAAAAGGCATGTATGAAGGCTGACTATTTCAGAACTTCTGGTTGCGGCAATCTTATTTCTAGCCAATATTCAGAAAGAGTTAATCTTGTACTCTCACTCGCAAATAACATGTTCGAAAAGAGGACCGACAAGGAACGTCTCCAAGCCATTAGAGAATCTGAATTCAGCGCTCCATCATATGCCGAGATCTGTAATACAGTTGAGAAACTCCCAGTTGAAACCGTTGAAGACTGTATTTACGAATTTAGAGATTCTCTTTCCAAATTTAAGTCAATGTCATCTATCATTAATATTGAGGGTGCCTGCATTGCTTCATTAGAAGAGGCTGCATATGATCCTTACTATACACGCCACGGATACGAGTATGGTAGCCAGACCTACTATCCCTCAATTTACCCAGGACACCGCCCTGCTGGAGTGCCAAGGAGGAGCTTAAGAAGATTCTACAAGGACATTGAGTACGCCCCATCAATATCTTCTTTACAGTGGTTCAGAAGAGAAATCCCAACTGAGTTAAAGTTTGATAAATTTATTGATCAGGAATACTCTGAATCTAGAAGAGGCTACTACAAGGACTCTAATAACAAGTCTGTATACCATGATGGTTACAGATACAAGCTAAACGGCTTGTGGTTTGTCAAGATTGGCGATAATTGGTATCTTGACCTCTCTGATTCGTTAGATTTTGTCAAAATTCGCCCAAGCGACCCAAGGTATAGTACATACCCACTTTCTCTTTATGAAAAATCTCCAATTAACCCTAGTGGCCCATTAAGGAGAAAGTCGTTTGCAACTTACATGTCTCCATACTCTCCACAATATGAAGGTCGCCACTATGGTAATTATCTCCAGGAATTATATGGAAAACCAGGATTCGCTCCATTTTATCCCTTACAATCTTCACAACCGTTATATAAGAAATGCACAAAATGTTTCAATTGGGTTCCATATGGCCACACACATAAACATGATGGTGTTAAGTCAGAACCTAACTCTTACTTCACTGAGAAGTTCCCATCAGTCTACGATATAGAAACTGGGTATTTTGTAACAGAGACAAATGACTACGATAAGGATGGAAGACTTATACGCAAACAAGTAGATAGAACCCAACAAGCTGCAACAACTCCGGGTTTAGGGCAACGTGACGCTTCTACTCAAACGATTCAGTGATTAATTACAGGTTCCCTATATATTCAGAAGTGATAATGATCTTTAACTACCGAGTGTAGTGATCCGGCAGCTTGAACGGTCATATTTCTTACTGGCATTTAGACCAAAAAATTGGCACAATTTTAATCTTAGATTACGTGAGTGTAGAACTAGGTTGCATAATTAACTCGTTAACGAACACGCAACTTTACTATGTTTCTTACTATTTTTATGTAATTCCCATTCTTGTAGCTAGTGCATTATGGAATATCTAGTAAAGTACTTAGCAATATGTAATATAGCTGGTTTTTATGCCAATTTACTGCCCTAAACCTGTTATAGTTTTCGTTTTACCTATATTTTATTCCCGCGCATAGTAGTTGGTTAGAACGATTAGTCAGGAAAAAGAACTGATTGTTTGTGTGCTAGTGGGTAATATTAAGTGTATTTTATTTACTGAAAAAAGTAGTACGTACACGTGGACTAATGACGCAGTGCCGCATTTGTGGCGCCAATCTGGCGATATAATTATCGTCCCTCTGACGATAATTTAAATAGTTTATTTATTGTCTTACGACAATAATTGCCAAGCTACCCACATTAATTTGCCCGGGTTTTGAACCCACACAGATTTTTTTCAGAAGAATTAAGTTAAATTTAAACCAATTCAATCACTGAAATACCGAGTTTGTGTGGTTGATTGTGAGGGAAAAGCGGATAGTGAGATAATTATAGTGTAATGTAGAGCAAAAAGGATGACACAAATAAAAATGAGTAACTTTGAGACAGAAAAAACATCTAAATCGAATGAAAATCAAAGTCTAGAGAATGAAGCGAACAAGGAAATTTCACCATGTTCTTTAAGAATTGTGATTCCAAAGTCAATGATCCTTTTTATTTCAGTAATTACGATAATTTCAATTGTAACCTTGTTATTTCACGCAATCCCAAATATGCTTGGAAGCCGTAAATTATTATATGATTTTAGAGGAAACTCTATGAGGTTTGACCATAGAATTTTGTCAATTTTAAAGCCATCAACAGGCGCTGAATCAAACAGCCTTCGAAAAAAGAACGTTTCAACTTATAGTTCAGTGAAATTGGAATCGCTAAGAAGTGGAGGTTCAGAGTGTAATCAATCGCTTGAATTGACTAGAAAGCTTTCAGAAGCAAATCTGGATAATTTGAATTCCAACTTACTTACTCAAGAAGGTAATATTTCACCTCTTTCAGGTAGTCTCACTCTAAAAAGCTCGAACTTCAGTTTAGACTCTGTTACTCCCACTTCGGGAGTAAGTGAGACAAATTCCCAGTTGAACTCAACTTATACATGCCACAAATTTGTTTCTGTTATGAAAAATAAATCTTTCAATATTACCAATGAACCAACTCAAAATTCTGAATGTAAAACCCACTTTATTCTTGCAGAGCCACTTCCAGAAAAATTTAAAAATTTGGATTTGGCAGCTGTAAATGCTTTTAATCATTTAAGTGAGGCATTTCAGTCGGTTAAAATGATCGCTGAAATTCTCAAAAACAAGCCTAAAAATGAAGGAATACTAATTGTTATGGCTTCGAATATGCATTACGAATCTAATTGGAAGTCAGCCCTAGAGAAAATGTATGAAGACTGGGAATATAACACGTATGTCTCTCAAATTATTCTCACTTCCTGGACAATATCAAAATCATTTTACGCAGGGCATCATTATACTCCTGCATTGGATTTTGGTTTTATGGTTTTAAATATCCCACCAGAGAGCAAAAATGAAGAGTCCAAAACAAAGTTAAGGCGATCTCTTGGTGTTGTGAAACAATTTATTTCTAATCTAAGTACGATAATTAATGGAACTATGTCAGAAATACTCGCAGGTCCAAACTTTAGTATTTTGTCAGAGAATAGATTGACCAAAGATTTGTTCACTAATTGGGACTATTCTGAGGACTCATTTAGTTACTTAAGTAATTATTTCAATAAGAATCAATCAATGTTGCTGGAAAATTATTTGACATCGGCTGCATTGGATGTCTCAAGGTTAATTGAGAAATTACCATTAACTATTGTTGATTCAGTCATTTTGGCAAAGGATAACCTGGATAATAGATATAAGAAAGATCCAAAAGAACTACGCTTTACTGATCCTAATACAACTCAAGTTGTGATTATTCCTCCGGTGGAGCGAAAGAAAGTTGCAAAATATAAATACGAGGAAAAGTTTAGAAGGATATGTGTCTACCAAGCCCATACTGAGCAAAGGTCTATTCTTAGATCAACACCATCCAGGGCATCTATGGCTGAGTATGCAAGGTATCACGGATATTCTTACTTCTTGTTTGATGGCTCATTTTATGACTCTATTCCAAGATCATTATTTACGGACTGGTCTAAGCAGGGTTATTATATGAAACTTTTTTCAGGTCTCAAATTACTTTTTTGGGATTTGGATAAAATTGGAAATATCCTCGGAAAATTAATTAATAATCCAAGAAACAATTTAATTTCCGAAGGGTTCTACTCCAATTTTTTGGAAAGTGTTGTGCCCAATCATTTTAATGTTGATTGGGATAAGGATCATGATGGTAGAATCGGAAGTACAGGTAGGATTAACCCACGTGGATCATCTGGGAAGGAAGGAATTCAAATTGTTCCTTCAAATGTTAAAGTAGATATTTGTGACTACATTGTGTGGTTTGATCTAGATATCGCAATTACAAATAAGTTCTTTTCAATCGAAAGGATGTTGGATTCAAATACTCCAGATTTCCACAATAAGCCACCTGAAATGTTTAGGAATATATACAAGGATGTTGGTGAACTCTCCCTATTTGTCGCAAGAGATTCTGATTGGAGGAGCAGAAATTCTCTGGTTAATAGTGGTTTCTTGGTCGTTTCTAGGTCAAGATACTCATTGCAGTCTTTATTCCATACAATTGCATTAAATCCAGTTGGTTCTCAAGAAATCGTACATAATGGTAGATTTTGGCCTGAGCAATCCACTTTAACTCATTCGATTGTAAATATATTTAACTATTCTTATAGTTCTCCCAATCAGACTTATCATTTCCAAAGTACTCCAATTGAAACTCTTACTGAGATTAAGAAAACATTGGTTGGTACTGTTCCAATTCTATTTACTGCATACTCCAATGAAACAAATAGATATGTACATTCAATTACTACTAGTCAAAGGGTTGTTAATAGTTTTCTTCACATAAGCCCAAGCGTTTATGGAGAAGGCCCATGGTACCCTGGAGAATTATTCATTCATGCTGCTGGGCAAAAGAGCCCATTTAGAGATAATGTATTATCTGGAATGTTATACACAATTAATACAATTGGTTTTACTCCTGGTGAAATAGAATATTTTAAGAATAACTGCTACGTTTCTTTGGACTTTGTTTATCAAGGCTTAGACAGACTCATTGAACAACTAACTCATGAGTTTATTGAATTCGAGGATGCAAAGTCTAATAATTTAGATAGTCAACTAAATTATATTAACAATGTTGATTTGACATTTCACTACATACAGAAATTAATGGCAGTTAAAACTAGAGTTAATACTCAAAATATTTCTTTTTACTTAAACCAAACACATTATGAGAAAATTCATTTTTTAAGATGTAAATATTCATTACCTATGGCTACAAAATGGTCTGTTGCAGAAGCATCTGCATTGGGTGGCGTTTCTGTTTTGGGTATTACTGCTATTGTTGTAATTCTTAAATTTGCAAAGATTTATTCTAGCAAAGGAATAACATTGAAATGAAATTTTCTGACTGAATATTAGACAATATTGTCTTGTTCATTCCAACGAAAGAATAGGAGTTCGTCTAATTAATTCGATTTAATAAAAAAGCATTAATATTTCTAAATTTTTTGAATAATTTTTTCTTAAAGATTTCATCAAGGGAAAATAAAATTAAGTGTTCAATATGTTTTAAAGGAGTTATTATTTCTATTCCAACTCTAATATTAGAGAAACATTCCTAATTCAAACAAAACTTGACTGCAAACTTGCATTTTTTTTTAAATCAATTTAAACTAAAAAAAACGGGTAAAAACTCCCAATTAAAATTCTGTGCAAGATTTTGTCGAGTCATACTAATAAATATATTAATTATATATAAATATTTTATTTCCTGGTAAATTTTAATAATTTTTTTTTTTCAATATCATGAAGGTGTTTTATTTTATCAGAACTTTGTTTTTGATTCTTATGATAGGTATATCAGTAAAATCTGAAAACTTTAGGCATTTCAGAGAGCTTCAAGAAGAATCTTCCGATTTTACAGAAGATAGCCGTAATTCTTCAAAGAGTTTCTTATCAAATACTTTTGGTCCATATTATGATCACGTTTCGAGCACAATTTCTGATAAATTGAGTGATGGAGCTCAGAAAATTAAGGAAAAATTCAAAAGTATGGTTTGCTCTGCTGGAGAAAGTATTAAGAACTACATCACAGAGAAAGCTAATTCAATTCAGTAGATCCTTTACTGACCAATTTGGATCTCATTTATATTTAGTTTAATTTCATACAAAATTTTTTCGTTTAAGGATGAGACACATCCCAAGAATTAAAATATGGGTTCACATTTTCCATTTTTAGTAGGAATTGGTTTGAAAATGATCGGTGAGTTTGCGCCCTATTGCTAGTGAAATTTCAAGGAAAATGAGAAATTTTTCGAGAATTTATAAGAGAAATAATAAATAATTGAAAACAGTATGGCCTTAAGAAGCTTTAAAAGCATGAAATACGCCTCAAAATTATTTGAAAATTTTTAAGAATAGCCAATTTAATTTCTATTTTTTTTTTCTTTTAAATTTCTTAAAATTGTTGAACAAAAATTTGGCGCGCGTCTTTTTTTACATAATGTGTCGAATTCAATTTACTTAGAATGAATAAATAAGGATTTTCCTTCATTAATAAATTTAAGGAAGTAGGACTATTGAATATTTGTATAATTTGAGGTTGGTTTTAGCTTATATAAGGTGAATGATATTATAATGAACACTAATATTACAATTGAAAGTAAAAATATTCATAATTCAAGCAATAAAGAACTGGTCAGTAATAATGTGACAAGTAATAGTACCTCTTTACTTATTTTGAACGAAAGTGGAGAGGCGATACATAATGAATTCGTTTTTCAGGAAATCGATTTTCTTCTTAAGGAAGAGAAAAATGAAAAATCGTCATATTTAAAAACATGCCTGCCATGTGATGATTCAAATATAAATAGCACTTCTCTCAATCTTCCTTCAAATTATCTAAGGAACTATAATTATTTAGAGCTTGAAAATGGGATTAAAGTAATACTAATTAATGATGCAGCAGATATGGAGGTAGGAATTGGAATTCAATATCCAATAAACTTGATAGAGGGATGTAATGAACTTGGTGGAGTAAGATTTATTTCAAATGTTCTAATTAAGGGTTTAGAAGATTACTTGAGAGAAGTAGCATTAATAAAGTCATATTTTTTGCATAATTCGAAGTTTTCGATAAATTTCTCTACCAATGAGAACCTTTTACAAGTATTGAAATACTTTTCAGAATGGTTTGTTAACTTTGATATTTCGATTGATAAATTTATAGAAGCTTATAAAATGACAGTTGATCAGTATAATGCAAGACAGGATGCTCAGTATACCCGAATAGTAAATAAGTTATTTGAAATTGCTCATCCAAATAGTTACTTCAAGAGTTCATGCAGTACTTTTTATGAACCAATTTTGCAAAATGAGTATAATGAGTATGATTTTGCTAAATTTAGAAAGAAAGTGGTAAATACTATCAGGAATCGTGTTTCATCGAATTTACTATCTTTCATAATTACTGCCCCATGCTCTTTATATTGTTCTCATTTAACCATTTCAGAAGCTTTAAGCTCTATGAAAAACATGAATTATAGTATTCCTGATACATTTGATAATAAAAAATATTCAATTCCTTTTTCCACAGACAATTTGATTGGTAAGAGACTAACATTACCAAGTAGCCTTCTTATAAAACAATTTTTCTTTTGTTTCTTTATTGAAGAAGTCTTAAAGGCAAATTTCAGAGAAATTGAAGGTGCATTAACAGGAATTTTTATCCATAGTAAGAACTCCCTATATTCTCAATTAAAAGATAGAGGATTGATTAAAAATATGAATATTAGACTAATATTGCCTGAAGAGTCTCCAATTTTAATTTTTCGTGTGGAAGTTGAAGACACAGAAAAAAATAATCCAGCAGAGATTTTGAGTATGATTCGACAAGCAGTATATACTTTTACAGAATCACCACTATTGGAAAAGTATGTTATGAATTACTTTAAGATACGTTATGCAAAGTTTTCTAAAGTATTTGCAACTTCTTCGACGAGTGATGTCATTTTTAAATTGTTTAATACTATTGGCTTTGATCCATTAGAAGATGTTAACAATATAATTAAACCCAATGCACTTTTGGAATCTGTTGAAATGGTTTTGAGTTATACAACTTTTGATCACTTTTTTTTGATTAGGAGTAATAATTCAATTTTAGAAGAAATAGAAAATAAAACTGTTGAGATAGATAATATTGAGATAGAATTTTGGAATTCAATAAATGGAAATTTATTATCTTTATATAATCCAGAAGAACCAGAAGTTAATTTATTACTACCGATTACATCAAATATAACAGATAATAATATTAATGAAAAAGAAATGATTTCAAATATTTCAAAAATAGACTTTTCTTATACTGAAAATAAAACTTTAATTGATCCATATAATGATAAAGTTTTTTTAAATATAATAAATGGATTTCAAAGACCTTCAAGAATAAATTTTTTTAGATTTAATATATTGCAAGAAAATATTTTTTCTATTAAATCAATACTATTTAAATGTTTTATTATATTTGCAATGAATATATTTTTAAAACCATATAAAAATATATTGGCAGTATCATCAGTTGATCTTAAATTAGATTGTGGTTTAACTCAACAAAGAGATTTAGAATTAGGATATGACTCAATTTCAATTTATATGAGTTCACATTCACAAGTATTTGCTCAATTACTAAATTATACATCTTATTCATTTAACAATGCAACATCATTAAATGAGACAAATTTTCTTAATATATTAAAAGAATATAAAGAATATGTAAAAAATGAGTACACAAATACTTCAGGTATTTTTTATGCAAAATCAATATTAAATGGCATGATAAATCCATCTTTTCCATCGTATTCAAAATATATTAAAATAATTGAAAGAGTAAATTATAATGATTATATTGATTATTGTGAATCAATGATATCTTTTAATAATATTAAAGGTTTGGTATCGGGTAATATATCAATATTAGAAGGAAAAGTGTTACTTTCAAATTTTATTAATTCATTAAATTTGGGTAATATTAAATCAAATTTGAATGATCCATATTCATATAATTTACCAATTTTAATGATATGTCCACAGCCAAAAATGGGACGTCATTTTATATTAAAAAGAGATCAGGTAGATACTTCAAGTATGGTAAATCTTGTTTTAATATCAATAATGATTGATAATAATATAAAGAATATATTAATGCTTAATATTTTAGAAACATCAATATTTAAATTATCAGAATTAGCATATTTAGATAAAGTAAATTTAAGTTTAAAATGGGAGATAAAAAAAAATTATATTCAGTTAAATATATTAAGTTTATCTCCAATAAGATATGGTGATAATGGGATTGAGCCAATAATAGAATATTCAACAGAGGTATTAAAGCGCATATATAATTTTGGTAATCATATGGAATTGAAAGAAAAGAGTTTTTTGAGAAAATCAAAAAGAATAATAACTATAAAAAGAGATTCAGAGGAGACCAGATTTAATCAATTATATTATTCATTTATGATGAGAAGAAAGCCATATATGCAACCTTCATTACTTAAAGAATTTGAGAATATAAGAGGAAAAGATTTTGTTGAATTTGCAAATAATGTTAAGAATAGTTCAACATATATAATAATAATATCATCTCATCAACAGACAAATAAGAATACGGAGAATGAGATGATAGGATTTACTATAACTGAAGGATATCCAAATACATATTAGAAATAGTAGTTAATAGATAATAATTAATGTTTAATAGTAATAATAAAAATGTCAAATATTGTTTAATAATATTATTAATAATATTTTAT